TTGTTGAGACTGGATTTTACACTGTATCCCAGCCGGCTTTGAACTCATGATCCTCCTCTTTATCTTCCTGAGTTATATCTGGCTCATGATGTTTGTGTTTTTTTCAAGTTGCTAGAAAAATAGTGGACATAAGAAGCGCACATAAGCCAGGTCCTGGTAGTTAGTTCACACCAGTAATCGTAGCTACTCAGGAGGCTGAGCTCTGAAGACCATGTTGATCATGTTTCAGAGACAGCCCAGGCAGAAATGTTCATGCGACTCTCATTTCCAGTAAACTCAGAAAAAGCTGGAAGTGGCGCTGTTGCTCAAGTGGTAGAGTGCTGGCCTTGAACACAGAGAGACTTAGGAATAGTGTGTCCAGACCCTGAGTGCAAGCCCTAGAACTGACAAAAAAGAAAAAAAAAAGCTCACTTAAGAAAGCCCACTTGGGGTAGTTGAAGTTGGAGGTAATGGTGGTTGAAATAGGGCAGTATAAGTGAAGATGAAGAAAAACTCAGACCAAATTAAGTTAGAGATACCTTTAAAATATCAAGGTAAACATTCTAGAATTTAGGTTGAAGATTTAAATTTTTTTATCTATTATTTATTTGCCAGTCTTGGGTCCCTGAGCTGCTTTTTGCTCAAAGCTAGCATTGTACCTCTTGAGCCACAGCTTTACTTCTACTTTTTCTGTTTATGTGGTACTGAGGAATCAAATGCAGGGCTTCTTGCAGGCTAGGCAAGCACTCTACTACTAAGCCATATTCCCAGCCCCTGAAGATTTAAATTTCAGGGTGATAATTAGATGGTATTTAAGACTATAAGCATAGATAACATCATCTAAAAAGAGGATAGAGAACAAAATCTTAAGGAATTTCAGTATGTAGAAATTGAATAGAGGAAGTAAGAAGCCCCCAGGGAAACAGCACAGGTCCAAACTTGAATTCCTTGCTTTTCACCAGTAGTCGGTTTCATCTGAAGCTTTTCCCTTTTCAGTTGATGAAAAAACTGCACTCAATCCTCCATTACTCAAGCCAGACATCTTGAGGTCATCTGTGACTACTGGATCTGAGTTGCTCTTGCTCTCTCGTACTCATATCCTCACCACATCCAACCCGTTAGTCAACTGTGCTGGCTCTACCTTCAGTTTACCCAGAATCTGCCACTTACTATCCTGACAAGTACCACCAAATTGTGATCCAGGCCACTACAATCTCCTGCCTACTTCTGTCTATCCCAGCAGCAGCCAGAGAGTAATGTAAGTCATGTCATGTTACTTGTCAGATGAAAACTCTGGTTACTCTCCATTTTCCTCCAAGTTAAAGAGGAAAAATAAAAGGCCAAATTTCATTCATAATGATGTCTCTATCTGGCATCCTCACAGAGCTTCATTTCCTACTATACTGTAAACCCGAATTCAGAAATCCTTACCCAAAAGACCACCAGAGACTGTCACCAATGTAAAAGCAAAGGAGTCTTTATTGCAAGTTCAACCCCCCCCCTCCCCCCCCGCGTACATGGCAGCAGCCCATGACGCTGAGAGGCCCCGAGCCCAGGGTTACAGCACTTTTTATACATTTTTTAGAGAAGGCAGGGGCTTTGCATACATCATAACTTCTTGTAACAAATGACTACAAACCGCAGGAAAATCATAAAACAACTCTATAGTATGATTGGCGCACTACAAAGTGGGAAAGGACCAGAAACAAGTTGTTGGTTAGATCAAGGGGGCTGATGTACTTTAAACTGGTTGGCTTGCACCACAGGGGAGTCTCAGGAGGATAGGTGCTAAACTGCAGGGTGTCTAGTTTTGATAATGGTCACCAGACCCCAGGAGGGGCAGTTCTGGAATTTCAGATACCTTGACATACTGTCTTGAGAAAACACCATCTGTGGTTCCGAGAATTGTTTGTGCAAGGCTTGCTGTCCTAATTCCTAGCATTGGGGCTGAAGTGGGTCAAGGGTTAAGTTGCAGAGCTGAGATGGGGGTCTTAAGTGAAATGGAGTTGCTTAGGTTCCTCAATACTAAGTTCCTTTCTCACTCCATGCTGCCCACTGCTCTCTTTACAGTTAGCTGGTTTGGCTAACTCTCTCATCTCTTTTCAAGCCTTTGATCCAGTGTGACAATCTCAGAGAGGCCTGTGGTGACTGACGTATGCTGGTTACTCCCTGCCCTGCTCTTCTTTTTCTTGCCATCTGGAAATATTCTTATTTTTTGTATTTATTGCTCTTCTTTCTCATCCCTATAGAAGAGAAGTTCCTCAAAAGCAAGAATTTAGTTTGCTGAGTGGTATGGCTTAGAACACCAGAAAATTATATGGCACATACCTATTATTTCTTGGCCTTTTGCTAAATGAATGACTGAAACAAGGACTATCAGAGCGTACTGCTTTAGAATCTTTGAAGAAAGTGTTTCAGGAAGGAAGAAAATAGGAAAGTTATTAAATTTCACTTGTGTGTCTTCATCAGATACAGACTAGATGTGTTCTTTGGATTTGGCAATATGAAGTGACCTTATTGTAAGTAGTAACAAGAAAAATTCAGAAGGCACTTGTGATTGGGATAGGAGTAAATAGGAGATTTGAACAAATTGTTATTCCCACTCAGAGATGGGAATGTGAGTTCTTAGAGAATACTTTCTACAAAATGGAAGGAATTTGTAGGTATATGTTGTTACCTAAGAGAGAAGGGACAGATTAATAAAGGAAAGTAATGACTGAAAATGTGAGAAAGAGCTACAGTGAAGGTGAGAAATTGAAAGTGTACTTTCAACAAAACATAAAATATTAATGTTTTCTAGTCAGCTTCATTAATGTTTTTTTTTTTTTGGCTTTTTTTGGGGTTGGTTTTTTTTTTGGGGTCCGGTTGTGGGGCCTGAACTCTGGTCCTGGGTGTTGTCCCTCATCTCTTCAGCTCAAGGCTAGGGCTCTACCGCTTGAGCCACAGCGCCACTTCCAGCTTTTTTCTTTTTGCCTATGTGGTGCTGAGGAATCAAACCCAGGGCCTCAGGCATGCAAGGCAAATGCTCTAACTGAGCCACCTTCCCAGCCCAAGCTTCATTAATGTTTACACATGATTTTAACTTTAATCATTATGCTCATTATTCCAATGTGTGTTCTCTAATTCAGTCTGATTCCTGAGCTCAGAAGTCTTGAATCTACTAACTGGGCATTTGATAGCAATATTGTTTGTAAAGATTGGCAAATTTTTTTTTTTTTTTGGATCGGTCGTGGGGCTTGAACTCTGGGCCTGGGCGCTGTCCCTCAGCTCTTCAGCTCTAGGCGAGCGCTCTACCACTGGAGCTACAGCGCCACCTCCGGTTTTCTGGTGGTTTATTGGAGATAGGAGTCTCACAGTCTCTCCTGCCCGGGCTGGCTTTGAATCTCGATTCTCAGATCTCAGCCTCCTGAGTAGCTAGGATTACAGGCATGACCCACCAGCGCACAGCAGAAAATAATTTTTAAAAATAAGGATTAAGAAATAATTTAGTGGCTGAGTGCTAGTGGTTCATGTCTGTAATCCTAGCTCCTCAGGAAGCTGAGATCTGAGGATTGAGGGTCAGAGCCAGCCCAGGCAAGAAAGCTCCAATTAACTACCAGAAAACTAGAAGTGGTGCTGTGGCTCAATGCTAGCCTTGAGCAAAAGATAGTACCCAGAGATAGTACCCAGACCCTAAGTTTAAGCCCCATGATGGACAAAAAGGAAAAGTAAAAATAATTAAACTCAACTGTGAGAATGGAGCTAGTTAAAACTTTGATATTTCCAGCAAAGAAAACATATATTAAAAGGAGTTGATTTCTAGGAGGTTACTAGATTTTTTTTGATGAGAGATGCGTATAGTATCTTTAATATATATATATATGTATTTTTTGTGTGTGTATATGTATATACATATATATGTAATTATAATCAGGGGAAATTGGGAATAAGGGTAGAAGTACATCCTTTTCTTCCAGCCTTGTAATTGTTACCAATTCTGTTCACAAGAACCCATCCTAAACACTAAGTCAGTCTTGATTTTGGGCCCTTGTCAGTTATCACATGGATTATGAGATAACTAGTCATCTAAATAAAGTCTTGACCTATGTACTTCTGTCTCCACATTTCATCCATTAATCCACATATCACCAAGATGATCTTTCTAAGAAAGAAAATATTGATGTGTTTTAGCATTGTTTTCAAATGGTAAGAAGTGGTTCAAAAAGATAAAGGTATATTTTCTTTGGGGATTTTGTGAAAAGGAGGAAGAAGATTGTTCACATCAGTTAATTTGAACTATGAGTACAACTGTATCAGTCTGATACTTAGTAAACATGGCATAAACATGTATTCTATTTCTGGTGGTTAATTGGAGATACAAGTCTCATGGACTTCCTGCCTAGGCTGGTTTCAGATCTGAGCCTCCTGAGTAGCTAGGATTACAGGTGTGAGCCACCACAGGGCCCAGCAAGGTAGTCATTTATATATGTAAGTCATGTATTTTGAAAAGGTGTATATCTTTAGTATATGTTAAATATATAACGCTCTGAATCTGAAATTTAAAATGCAACTAGTGGGAAGTATCTGAAGTTTTGAGTTTTTCTATTAATTTTGTGATGTCTTTGAAGTTAGTACCAGCACCCACTACGGCACTAAGGTCCCAAGACTACTAAAGAAAGATTTGGCTTTTATCATTAAAGTTTGTTAGTGGTGTATTTCAGATCACCTTTCTTATTCAAGAATAAACTGTTGAATTTATTGTTTTCCAACATAGAATGTTTTTTTTTTTTTTTTCCCTTTTGGATTAGTGTGTGTGTGTGTGTGTGTGTGTGTGTGTGTGTGTGTGTGATGGTCACGGGAGTTGAACTCAGAGCCTGGGTGCTGTCCCTGAGCTTCTTTTTTTTTTTTTTTTTTTTATTGTAAAGCTACTATACAGAGGGTTACAGTTACACCAACATAGAATGTTTTAGCATGATTTATACTTGGTGATTCTAGTGTATTTTCCTTGGTGAACTTTAAATGTACAATTTGTTTTCTCGTAGGTTTTGGACGGAAAGATGTAGTCGAATATCTACTTCAGAATGGTGCAAATGTCCAAGCACGTGATGACGGGGGCCTTATTCCCCTTCATAACGCATGTTCTTTTGGTCATGCTGAAGTAGTCAATCTCCTTTTGCAACATGGTGCAGACCCAAATGCTCGAGATAATTGGAATTACACTCCTCTCCATGAAGCTGCAATTAAAGGAAAAATTGATGTTTGCATTGGTAAGACTATTTGAATTTCAGAATTTTCCAGATGTTATCATTACTAAATGCAAAATGGTATTATTGCTGATATCAAATTCTGCCAAATTGAACTTAAGTATTTAGGAACACTTCAGATTGGGTGTGGTAGGTCATGATTGTACTTTTTATAGTACTAAGTTTAAACTTCTTTGGAGACTAGAGTATACAGTTCCTTTTCTCATGAAAGTTGGATTCTCTTGGAAGATAAAATCCGAAAGAACCAAATAAAGACAAGATGGAAGTAAACTGTTGAGTGATACTGGATAAAGATTAGTGAAGTAACTTAGCTGAAGTCAAGTCTCAAGGGCCAACTACATGGAGTCTTTTTAATGGAAGAAAGGTAGGTAGGGACTTCTTTAAAAGAGTTTTGCATGCTAGATTTAAGAAGCTTTATATAACTTTGTAGGCAGTGTGTACTTTTCAAGATACTTAAAGGGAGCAGTTTTATGAAAATATAGAACATTTTAGAAAGAGTAATCTAGTAGGGAGCTGGGTAAATGGGTGGCATCATGGAGCCTAGTTAAAATATCCATGTGAGAGATAGGGAAATGACCTAGGAATATTCAGATTAGAAATGATGGGTTAAATGAAAAAGCATTTGATGGAAAATTTTTTCCATTATTAGTGTTTAGAATATTTGAGCCCAACAAATGAGAGAGGAAGGAATGGTTTATATCTTGGTTGGTTTCAGTTTTTACCTACCTACCCTACTCCTTAGACTTGTATACCTTGCTGTTGAATCTCAGTCTGTGTGGTAACAATGAATAGTGAACTTGTACTGATTAATTCTGTTTTTCTTCACAAAAAAAAAAAGGAGATGAAAACTTTACAGAAAGTTTAAGGAAGCTATTTAGTATTTTCATCCTACAGGTCTGATTCCTGATCTGTCTATGGCTTTAGATACTGCATTTCTGTCTTGACATAGCAGCCTTTCTAGCATATGTAGCACTCCTTAGAATGAGAACAATTTTAAGGAAGGATTTTTTTTTCCCCTAATGTACTTTGTTCTGTTTGTTTTGTTTGAGAAAGATTTTCCTAACGTAGGGTCCAACCTGGCCTAAAACTCAGAATGTAGCTCAAGCTTTTCTTAAACTTGAGATTGTCCTGTTTTAGCCTCTACAGAGTTCCAGGATTGCTAGCCTCTACAGAGTGCTGCAATTACAAACATGTGCTCTCAGACCTGCCTCTTTATATACTTGTTTATATGTTCTTAATCACTAGCCACTCACAATATAAATAATCAGGGAATATCTTACATTGAACTAAGGGGAAACTTAATGTGCCTTTAATGCCTTAAGTAATGAAATATTATATACATATAAATGTTTATTTACATATAACATACACTTTTTAATCAGGTGTGCACTGCTATACCCAGCTATTTTACATTCTTATACTTAAAATGTAACATTTACCATATTACTAGGATATAAAAATCCTTTAAAGGACTTTGAGATTCTGGAAAAAAATGTGTTTTGTTTTTGTCTGTATGAGGGTTTGAACTCAGAGCCTGAAACTCATGACTTAGCCTTTCCACTCAAAGCTGGCACTGTCCCACTGAGCCACGGTTTTGTTTATGGCTTTTTTCTTGGTTAATTGGAGATAAGAAAGGGGTAGATAAATGAAGAGGAGGTTGTGGGAAGAATGCAGACAAGAATCTAGTATATAGCCTACAAAATTAAGAGTTAGAGAAGGGGTAGGTAAGGTAAAGATGGATAACAATTTTGAAAAGGGTGACATTGGTTGGTAAAGATATAGTGTATTCATTCTATTTTGTTAAATGCCAAATACTTTGTACAACTACTTAAAGATAATTTTAAAAATAAAAAGGGATCTCTTGTATTTGTCTGCCCAGGCTAGTTTCAAACTTTGACCATCAAATCTCAACCCCTTGAGTAGCTAGTATTAAAAGCATGACCATTGACACCCAGCTGAACCAGAATTTTTTTTGGGGGGGGGAAGGGGTCTGGTCGTGGGGCCTGAACTCTGGGCCTGGGTACTGTCCCTCAGCTCTTCAGCTCAAGGCTAGCGCTCTACCACTTGAGCCACAGCACCTCTTCCGCTTTTTTCTTTTTGCTTATATGGTGCTTAGGAATCGAACCCAGGGCCTCATGCATGCAAGGCATGCGCTTTACCATGAGCCACCTTCCCAGCCCTGAACCAGAATTTTTAAGAAAGTGACATACCAAAATCAAATTGTTAGCTGGGAAGGTGGCTTAGTGGTAGAGTGCTTGCCTCGCATGCATGAAGCCTGGGTTCAATTCCTCAGTACCACATAAACAAAAATGCCAGAAGTGGTACTGTGGCTCCAGTGGTAGAGTGTTAGCCTTGAGTGAAAGAAGCTTAGGGATAGTGCCTAGGCCCTGAGTTCAAGCCCAGGACTGGCGGCAAAAAAAAAGAAGAAACTCAAGTGTCATGATTTGCCGTTTTGAAATTTTTGGTGCTTTGCAGTTCTCCTACAACATGGAGCTGAGCCGACCATTCGAAATACAGATGGAAGGACAGCATTGGATCTAGCAGACCCATCTGCCAAAGCAGTACTGACTGGTAAGTCTATGTACCCTCCTTGGGGTTCTTTCTGTTTTTGTTTTGTTGTTGTTGTTGTTCTGGTCCTGAGCTTGAAATCAGAACCTGAACACTCTCCTGACCGCCTTTTCTGCTCTAGGCTTGCATTCTATCACTAGAGCCACAGTTCCACTTGGGTTTTTGGTGCTTAGTTGGAGATAAGAGTCTTAAGGGCTTACCTGTAGTCCAGGCTACATTTGAAAAAAGATCCTCAGATCTCAGCCTCCTGAATAACTTGAACTAACAATGCCCAGCCCTCCTTGGTTTGTTTGTTTGTTTTTGGTCAGTCATGGGGCATGAACGCTGAGCCTGAGCACCGACCCTCAACTCTTCAGCTCAAGGCTAGTGCTCTACCACTTGAGCCACAGCGCCACTTCCAGTTTTCTGGTGGTTCATTGGAGATAAGAATCTCACAGACTTTCCTACTTAGGCTGGCTTTGAACCACAATCTTCAGACCTCAACCTCCTGAGTAGCTAGGATTATAGGCATGAGCCACCACCACCCAGCCCTCCTTGGTTTTTAAAGGAAGAGTATATAAATAGTGTCAGTTCAGTTGCTAATTTTTTTGTACATCTAGATTTAGTGTTTCCTGTTTTGTTTTGGTGCCAGTGCTAAGAGTCTGTCTTACGGACTTTCTGTCCAGGCCATCTTTGAGCTGTGATCCTCAGATTTCAGCCTCCTGTGTAGCTAAGTAACAGACATGAGCCACTGGAGCTAAGTTTATATTTGATTCTTGTCTAAAAGGGATCTCTTTTTTTTGTTTGTTTTTTTAGTGCCTTTACTGGTATTTGAACTCAAGGGCTTTCCCTCTCAAGGCTTTGTTTCTCAAGGCTGGCATTCTACCGCTTTCAGGCTTTTGCTGGTTAGTTGGAGTCTCTAAAATTTGTCTGCCCTTCCTGGTTTCAAATTTCAGTTCTCTGATCTCAAGCTCTTAAGTAGCCAGGTTTATAGGTGTGAGTTATCAGCATTCAATAGATGAAACCTTGAATTTTCAGATTCATATTTAAACCTGTCACTGTTCACTGGAAACAGTGTGTGATAATAATTACATGTTGTTGTGTTTAGAATTTTTGTTGTTGTTGATTGCAGGGCTGCAGGGCTTGAACTCAGGGCCTGGGTCCTGTCCCTGACCTCTTTGTGCTCAAGGCTAGTGTTCTGTCACTTGAGCCAGAGAGCCACTTCCAGTTTTTGAGTGATCCAGTGATTGGAGATAAGAATCCATGATACTTGGATCTCAGGCTCCTGAGTAGTTGGATTACAGGCATGAGCCACTGGTGCCTGACTGTATTCAGAGTATTTTTTAAATATCCTTGAGCTTTTCATACAACTGATGTCTACCCTTTGATAGTCCAGTTTTTGTTTTGGGTATAGTATCTTTTTATCATTTCTTTATAGAATCCTTTCCAGAAGCACTAATTATCTTTATCCATCATCTTCAAAACAGGATTCTGGTCACACTGATTTTAGTACCATGAAGATGACTCTACTATAACATATTCATAGCCTTGGATTCTATTACGATACATTAGGTCTTAATTTAGATTAGCAAGCTTTTTTAAGATATAGCTACTTCATAAGTATTTTTTAACCTTATCAATGTGTTTTTCACTTAAACAACTCTACCATATTCCTTACTGGATTCTTATCTACTATATGATAACCATTCAAATCACATCTAAAAGACAAAAGCCTCTGAGGGGTCTTCTAAAAGTTTTTATACTTGGACTTTACATGTTCCTTCTAGCATTGCTGGAAAACTTAAAACTAATCCCTGAACATCTTAGGAACTACTTTCAGGACTATCCATACCTCCTTCATTATTCTAAATTACTTCATATTTTTCTCTCTTAAAAAAAAAACAAGCCTGGACTGGGAAGGTGGCTATGTGGTAGGGTGTTTGCCTCACATGCTTGAGGCCCAGATAAACAGAAAAGGCTGGAAGTGGTGCTGTGGCTCCAGTGGTAGAGTACTAGCCTTGAGCTGAAGAGCTGAGGAACAGTGCCCAGGCCCAGAGTTCAGGCCCCACGACTGACAAAAAAAAAAAAATCATGGCACAAAACAAGCCTTACCTTACAGAGCAGTGTAGAATTCCTATTGTAACACCAGTTTGGATGTTGTCTCATCAAACTCTTGTGTTAAATTGTATTGATTTTATAAATTTGTTTGCTCTCCTGTAAGTACAAAAATATCCACAAAAAAAATAAAAATGAAAGTTATCAACATGAAGAGTTACGTAACCTTTGATATTTGCATATATCTTAAGTAACATTAAGTAGCAACAATCTTATTGTCAGTTACAAAAATAATAAACTTTATAGGGCTGGGAAGGTGGCTCAGTGGTAGAGTGCTTGCCTTGCATGCATGAGGCCCTGGGTTCAATGCCTCAACACCACATAAGCAGAAAAAGCTGGAAGTGACTCTGTGGCTCAAAGTATTAGAGTGCTAGCCTGAGCTGAAGAACTGAGGGACAGATCTCAGGCTTGGTGTTGAGGCCCCATGACCGACAAAAAAAAAATGAAAAAAAAAAAAAAAAAACTTTAGAAGGAAAAGAAAAGGAGCATCTACCAGTAATGCCCTACCCAAGACAGACATTGTTAACATTTTAGTGAATTTTCTTTTGGGCCTTCCTTTGTTGTGCTTTTTAATATAGTGATGGTCAGTCTTCATTATGTAACACTGAATTTTTTTTCATAACAAAAGTATTGCATGTACTTACTTCATATAAATATTTTTAAATTTCATGGTATTGATCAACTATTTTACATTTCTTAGAAATTTATTTCCAAATGTATCTACCATATTATAATCATCTTTTTTGCATAAAATTGTCATTGATTTTTTTTTTAATTTCTGCTCATTTTCTTCCTAATTCACAGGAGACTATAAGAAAGATGAACTTTTGGAAAGTGCCAGGTATGTACTAATTTTATAAGTATGTTTAATGAAAACCACCAAGTTTTTTTAGCAGTACTGGCCTTGTGCTTATTTATTAAACTAATGTTCTTTACCACATGAACCACACCTCAAATTCTACAATACACACACTTTAAAAGAGAAGGACTTTATCTTAATGGTTGCAATACATGTTCCTAGGTAGGCACCGATAAAAATATAAACAGTTAATTTTTTTTGTGTGTTCTAGGAGTGGCAATGAGGAAAAAATGATGGCTCTACTTACACCATTAAATGTCAACTGCCATGCAAGTGATGGCAGGAAGGTACTTTCTTTTTAAGTTTATGTTATGTTCTTTTCCTGGTAGTAGGAAGATATACTACCCTTTTACAAACTAAAGCATTAAGAGAGAGTACTGATGTTTCCTTTCAAATTCTTAGTCATTAATTTGTAGTCATTCAAATTAATTCATAAATTTAGAAAAACTTAGTTGATAATAGACATTTATTTGCTTCCTATATGCCATTGTGAACTTAATTTTTATGTCTTCAGCATAAAAATAGGTTTATAAAACTATAGTATATACATAACTACTTCTTAGACAACAAAGATATAATTAGATTTTCTAGTTTTATGTTTGATTTTCCTTTCACAGCCATCATTTCATAAGTCTTATTAATTCATTTGATTGCTATTTCAGTCAACTCCATTACATTTGGCAGCAGGCTACAACAGAGTGAAGATTGTACAGCTGTTACTGCAGCATGGGGCTGATGTCCACGCTAAAGATAAAGGGTAAGTATATGAACAAAAAGAGGACTTAAGGATTAGGATCTTTATAATACATTTGATAATTGTATGAAAAGCATTCATTTCAAGCCCCATGACTGACCAAAAAAATGTACAGAAAAGCATATATTTTATTTTCTAAATATTAATGTGTTGTACAGAGGGCTTACCATTTCATAAGGTAATAAGTACCTTTCAGAAATCATTTTTTTAATATTTTTGAGCTCTTATGATATACAGGTTGCTCTGCAGGCATAGAGAATTATAAACCTTAAGTCTGCTACTCACACACTATACTTTATGGAGTCTGAAGCAAATGTCATAAACAAATCAAAAAGTTATTTTCTAGGTGCTTGGTAATGATTGGAGAAGGATAGTACTATAAGAGTTCCAAGGAGGTTGCAGTTAGTGATGGGAGGAATGGCTGGGAAGTCTTTCAGAAGGATGTGGCACTTGATCTGGTTCTTAGTACTTGACCAAGTCTCAATTCAGAAAAGCAAAGAGTTGGGGAAACATCACATTGCAAGAGAAAGAGATGGTAAACCCATATAAGAAACAGTGACTAAAAAAAAAAAAAAAAAGAAACAGTGACTAGCTGGTGGCTCACACCTGTAATCCTGCCACTCAGGAGGCTGAGATCTGAGGATCACGGTTCAAAGCCAGCCAGGGCAGGGAAGTCCATGAGACTCTTACCACCAGAAAAAACAGAAGTGGTACTGTGGCTCAAGTGTTTGAGCATTTGCCTTGAGCTGAAGAGTTCAGGGACAGCATCCAGGCCAAGTTCAAGCCCCACAACCAATAAAACAACAACAAAAAGAAACAGTGACTAGACTAGCTTAAGGAAGCAGATAATTCACATAAAGAACATTGTAAGTTAGGTTTGGAGAAATACATGAAACCAGGTTTCAGATATTCAAACTTCATTCTGCAGCCCTAAGCATTTTGTAATCACAAATAAGGGTAATAGTATTTTGAAGAGGATATTAAGAATATGCATTCTGGAGGAGTATGTATGGTAAATTGAAACAAAAAGAGCAGTTTTGGAAAGTATTCTAGAACTTAGTAATGTTTTGTAATAATGATGAGAGAAGAAATAAAAATGAAAACATAGATATAACAAAGCAGTCTTGTTTTACTGTTAAAATCTGAATTCATGAAGATATTAATGATTGTATTCAACTAAGTGATACTATATATTCTTTTGTCAGTTTTACAATGTTAGTGTAAATGTTATGTTTGGGATTTTATGTATGTGTTTTTTGTTACTTTTTTGGAGGAAGGGTTGGTGCTGGGAATTGAACCTAGAGCTTCAATACCTAATAGCTATTATTAGCATAAATTTTTTTTGTCTGGATATAATGTGAGAGAAAGGAATAAGAAGAAAATTGTATTTCAAATTCTAAAGTTAAATGGGTTAGAACTGGTATATACATACTGAAGTACAAGAGGAAAAATTGTTTTGGAGAGAAGTTACACTTTCATGATGGGAACTCAAGTCAAATGGGAATGAAATTGGTGCCCAGGCAAGTAAAGAGTCTTATTTTAAAATGATAGGGTAGAAAGCCATTAACCTTTCAATAAAAGAGACATAGAACTAAAGAGACTAAATCACAGTGGTTCTTGGTTACCAGAAGCTGTTATGGTAATGGCTGTGGTGATTAATTATGAGTGATGCTCAAGGAGAAGGAGAAGCTTAAAGACAGAAAGCAGGATTTTAAGGCTTCACTGTACCTTGTTATGGTGGATGTTCTTCTGTTAATATCATAAAGGAATTAGGTTACAGTTATTGAGGTGTATAGCAGTTTATCTTACACAATTTCAAAAAATGTTTCAAAATTGGGTGCGGGTTACTCATGCCTATAATCCTAACTGCTCAAGAGATCTGAGGATTATGGTTCAAAGTCAACCTGGGTAGGAAAGTCTGTAAGACTATATAGCTCCATGTAACCACAAAAAGAGAGAGAACACCTGGAAATGGAGCCAAGGCTCAAGTAGTAGAGCAGTAACCCTGAGCAAAAAATCTTAGCAATAGATTCCAGGCCATGAATCTAAGCCCCAGAACCAGCACAGAAAAAAAAAATGTTTTTTTCTTTCAAGGAATACAGATAATGTTGGGAGCTGTGTCAAAAGATGTATAAAAGTAACATCAGAACATGGATGGAAATCCATAGTGTTCAGTATGTATAGAAATACCCAGGGAAGGGGCCTGGAAGATGGCTCAGTGGTAGAGTGCTTGCCTTGCATGCATGAGGCCCTGGGTTCAATTCCTCAGCACTACCTAAGTAGAAAAAGCCAGAAGTGGCGCTTGGCTCAAGAGGTAGAGTGAGGGCTGGGAAGGTGGCTCAGTGGTAGAACGCTTGCCTTGCATGCCTCAGGCCCTGGGTTGGATTCCTCAGCACCACATAAGAAAAAAGCCGGAAGTGGCGCTGTGGCTCAAGTGGTAGAGCGCTAACCTTGAGCTGAAGAGCTGAGGGACAGCACCCAGACCCAGAGTTCAGGCCCCATGACTGGACCCAAAACAAACAAAAAAGAGTAGAGTGATAGCCTTAAGCTGAAGAGCTGAGGGACAGCGCCCAGGCCCAGAGTTCAGTCAGGCCCATGGGCCGACAAAAAAAAAAAAAAAACAGGGAACTGATACTGAAGGGCAAGCCAGAGAAAGAAGACAATCTCATGAGTCCGTGGTATACATGTGAAGAAGATAGAACGGTGCTAGACAAAATGCCAAATACCTGTCAACACAGCATTCTTACTCAGGAGGAGGAAACTGGAAGAAGCTCTAGGCCAGCCTTGACGCTATAGAAAGACCCAGTCTGTAAATGAAACTTAAAATTGTCTCTTAAAAGCAAGGAAAAACAACAGGAACATTAAAACAAGGAGTAATTAATTTACAAAAGTTTAGCAAACTTTGGCTACAGTGTGGAGACTATTTCAGTAATACAGGGGAGAAACAATATAGGCCAAAGTAAGTCAATGCCAATAGTAGGATCGGCGGAATATGGATTTGAAGAGACTTGGGAGTTAGAATACTTAGACTATTTTAACTTAAAACCCTATTGGACTTAGGATTCCTCTGGATGTTACCAAGTTTTTATTAAGAGATCACCAAATCATCTGATATTTAAAGCAAAATTAAATAAACTTTAATTTGTTAATTTCCCTAGGGCTAGAGAATCTGTATTCACACATTTATCCCCCATTCTCTTATAGTGACTTGGTACCATTGCACAATGCCTGTTCTTATGGTCATTATGAAGTAACTGAGCTTCTGGTCAAGGTTTGTTCTCTTTTACCTTTCTGATTATTTTCTATTATACAAAATTATTAAAATACATGGTTTATTTCTGTTCTGAGTGCTTGGTAAACAGAAGGAATATTTATAATCATAAAATATATGGGATTGATATGATTACCTTCAGATTTTTGAGATACCATATAACTTCAAATATAAATAACACAGCTGTCTTGAATAATTCTATACTTTGTAGCCAAAGATCAGAAAGCAGCTTTTATTGACTCATATTTTAAGGCACCAGTTATATCTGCAAGATTTACCCTTCAAAAGTTGTAACTCTCCCAATTTCTCTACATGTGAATGTATGTACCCATGTGTGTCCACCCCCATCCTCTTAAGATTTCTCTTGCCCTGAACCCAGTTATTAATTCCTCAATACTTTGTCTGACTTTCAGCAACTATCAAGGGAAAGAAAAGAAAACACTAGTTTCCAGGGCCTTTATGCTTCCTTTTGGGCATGTGCATGTAATAATGCATATAGTAATAAATATTGTATAAGCCCTTTCAAATTGATCATGTACCTGTGGTATCATGTATTTGTAGCAGTGATGCTTTTGCTTCTTTTAAAACAACATTTGGAATAGTTGTGCCACATCAGATTGATTGTGTTCGTACATATAGATACCTGAGTGACTGTATTTTTCATTTTTTTGAAATTAGAAAGCATGCTGCCACAGTGCTAAAAGTCAGAATTGGGCCAGAAATTGCTTATAAAAGAGCCCAAGGAAAAATTCTGTAGTAATGGAAGAGTCGAAATCTTGACTTGGATGATGATATCATGGATATGTATATCTGTCAAAACTCAACTACACAAAGTACTATTTATTTCACCATACTTGTATTTATACTTCCAGAAGGGAGAAAATGTCTTGAAGAAGATGCAGGTTAAATCTAAAGCTTCATTCTTAACTATAAGATTTAAAACAGACCCTTGTTAACAAGCAGGTTTAATAGTCAACAGGAAAAAATGTTTTCTTTTTCTGAAATAATTAGCTTAAAAAATAAACCTTGGAGACATAATCTTTTTTAAACTTTCCTGATAGTAAATTATACAGTACTAAATTGCAGTTATACATTGTCACAAAAATTAACATCAAAATACACTTTTTCTCACCAGCATGGTGCCTGTGTAAATGCAATGGACTTGTGGCAATTTACCCCTCTTCACGAAGCAGCTTCTAAGAACAGGGTTGAAGTCTGTTCTCTTCTCCTGAGTTATGGTGCAGATCCAACATTGCTGAATTGTCACAATAAAAGTGCTATAGACTTGGCTCCCACACCACAGTTAAAAGAAAGATTGTCATGTGAGTATAGGAATCACGAATAGTAACATTTCTCAAAGCTGAATTCCTGTTTATTTGGGGGAATATTTGAGTATATTTAATATGAGTAATAGTTAATATAAATAATATTGTTTAACTTACTTAATAATTTGGAAGCTAGTACTTAGGCTAAATGCTGTTAAAATACAACTATTCATTCTTTGAAAACAAATTATGGGGGCTGGGAAGATGGCTCAGTGGTAGAGTGCTTACTTTGCATGCATGAGGCCCTGGGTTCAATTCCTCAGCACCATATAAGCAGAAAAAGCTGGAAGTGGTGCTGTGGCTCAAGTGGTAGAGTGCTAGCCTTGAGCTAAAGAGCTGAGGGACAGCACCCAGGCCCAGAGTTCAGGCCCCACAACCAACAAAAAAAAAAGAAAAAGAAAACAAATTATGCTTTTTTATACGTATTATGGTATACTTTTGAAATGAAAGTTTTTAGGTTCTTTTAATACAACTTTCTAGTTAAATCTGCTAAATTAAAAATGTTATTTGTAAGATTTTTAGCATATAGATATAGATATATAGTCCCTGGGTCTTAATATTTCATATTCTTTCATATTTTACCAAGTTCTGTGGTTTTTGTTTATACCTAAAATAGATACAGTGAGAAATAACCATCTAATTAAGATGTAGTATTATTACTACTTATAAATGGGCAACTTGAATTGGACTCATTGTTGTGGAATGAAGAGGGATTAAAAGATGGTTTCTCAGGTAAAAGAGAAACTTTGCTAAAATACCCTCTTTAATTTGCTCACTGTAGATGGTACTTGGCAATAGCCAATTTGTCAAGTCCGCAGTTACCTAAGAGGTATGAGAAAAGCCATCTGCTACTAACATGCTGTTAGTGTAGGGATAATTAACACCCTTTCTCTTCTTTTTTTTTTTTTCAACTAAGAAAAGTTTTATGTTTTAGAAAATTCTCAGAACACTCTAGTCTAAAAAATATATTGCAGTATTGTAGGTATCTCTGGACCATTTATGAAATAGAACAGACCATGATTCTACATTGGCTTAAATCTATATCTAAGAATTAATTCAGCCATAATTGAAGGGAACTGGAGTAGCACTGTGTCTGCTTCTAGAAATTACATATAGAAAATACCTGTACAAGAGGCTGAGAAGGTGGCTCAGTGGTAGAGTGCTTGCCTTGCATGCATGAGGCCCTGAGTTGGATTCCTCAGTGCCACATAATCAGAAAAAGTCAGATGTGGCACTGTGTCTCAAGCGCTTGCCTTGAGCTGAAGAGCTGAGGGACAGTGCCCAGGCCCAGAGTACAGGCCCCAAGACTGACAAAAAAAAAAAAAAAATACCTGTACAGCTTTAGTCTAGCTATTTGGAGAAGTTGTTTTGATATTGATTCCAGGAAAGTTACTCTCTGTTACTATGGAAATTGAATTAATTTGGTAATTCTCACATAGATTTAATGCTTCTTCATTTAGATGAGTTTAAAGGACACTCATTGCTGCAAGCTGCACGGGAAGCTGATGTTACACGAATAAAAAAACACCTGTCTCTGGAAATGGTCAATTTCAAACATCCTCAAACTCATGAAACAGCATTGGTAAAGTTTCAGACTTAAATTTTATTTATTATATATGTATATGTAGCTTTGGGGGGGGGTGGGCATTGGGTTTTTGTTGGGGTGGTACTGGTCTTGGGAAATCAGGGCCTAGGTTCTGTCTCTGAACTTTTTTGCTCAAATCTAGCATTCTACCATTTGCATCTCAGCTCAGCTCCACTTTCAGGTTTTTTTTTGTTTGTTTGTTTTTTGTTTTTTTGTAAGAGAAGGACAGGGATTTTATTTATTTTTGCCAGTCCTGTGGGTTGAAGGCCTGGGCACTATCCCTGAGCTTCTTTTGCTCAAGGCTAGCACTCGACCACTTGAGCCACAGCATCAGTTCTGCTCTTTTCTGTTTATGTGGTACTGAGGAATCTAACCCAGATCTTCATGCATGCTAGGCAAGCACTCTTACCACTAAGCCACATTCCCAGTCCTTTTTTTTTTTTTTTTTTTGGTCGGCCGTGGGGCTTGAACTCTGGGCCTGGGTGCTGTCCTTCAGCTCTTCAGCTCAAGGCGAGCGCTCTACCACTTGAGCTACAGTGCCACTTCCGGTTTTCTGGTGGTTTTATTGGAGATAGGAGTCTCACGGTCTCTCATGCCCGGGCTGGCTTTGAACCGCGATCCTCAGATCTCAGCCTCCTGAGTAGCTAGGATTACAGGCGTGAGCCACCAGCGCCCGGCTCCCAGTCCTTTTTTTAAAAAAAACGATTAATTGGAGATGAGTGTCTCATGGATTTTCCTGCCCCAGATGGCCTCAAATTACAATCCCCAGATTTCAGCCTCTTCAGTACATCGGATTACAGATGTGAGCCACTAGCCAGCTTCAGACTTAAATTTTTAATTACAATAATTAACAACATGCCAAAGTAATCATTATGATCTATTTTAGTAATGGCGCTGTTTTAAGTCTGTGATTTTTGAGAGTTAAAGTAATGCTCACATATGTATAAAGAAAAAGATAAGGGGTTGGGAAGGTGGCTCAGTGGTAGAGTGCTTGCCTTGCATGCATGAGGACCTGGGTTCAATTGCTCAGCACCACATAAGCAGAAAAAGCCAGAAGTGGCTCTGTGGCTTAAGTGGTAGAGCTTTAGCCATGAGCTGAAGAGCTGAGGGACAGCTCCCAGGACCAGAGTTCAGGCCCCATGACCGACAATAATATTATTTGCTATTTAAGGAGGCTTTAAAAATTGAAAATCTTTATAATAAAAATAATTGGAGCCGGGCGCTGCTGGCTCACGCCTGTAATCCTAGCTACTCAGGAGGCTGAGATCTGAGGATCACAGTTCAAAGCTAGCCTGGGCAAGAAAGTCTGTGAAACTCTTATCTCCAATAAATCACCAGAAAACCGGAAGTGGCACTGTAGCTCAAGTGGTAGAGTGCTCGCCTTGAGCTGAAGAGCTGAGGGAAAGCGCTCAGGCCCAGAGCTCAAGCCCCACTACCAAAATAATAATAATAATAATAATAATTGGACTCCACTAAAAATATTGAAAACTGAAAAACATACCAATAAATTAAAACTAAAATAAAACCAAAATTTATTTCAAACTTAAAGTAGCCCAGCACCAGTGGCTCATGCCTGTAATCCTAGCTATTCAGGAGGCTGAGATCTAAAGGTTCAAAGCCAGCCCATGCAGGAAAATTCATGAGACGCTTACTTTTAATTAACCACTCAAAGGCCAGAAATGGAACTGTGGATCGAGTGGTAGAACACTAGCCTTGAGCAAAAGAAGCTCAGGAATAGTCCCCAGGTTTTGAGTTCAAGCCCCAGGACCTGTGCCAAAGTAAAATAAAAATTAAGTAAATTAAGGTATGTTAAATTAATACTCAAAGAGGTAATATTTCTATGGCAAATTGGGGGTGATGGTACATATCTGTAGTCCCAGCACTCAAGAAGCTGAGACAGATTGAAAGTTCAATACCACCCTGAGCCACGTAGCAGGATCCTCACAGAAACAAAAGTAAGAAAAAAACTTCTTGAGGGGAGAAGGGGGAGTAGTTGTGGAGGTGGGAGGGAAAGGATGGTAGGGGGAAAACAAAGGAGGAGGCAACAATGCTCAATAGGCAATGTACTCATTACCTTGCTCATGTAACTGTAACCCCTCTGTACAGCATTTTTGCAATAAAAAAGTACAAAAAAAAAGAAAAAAAAACTTCTGTGAAGCTATAATAAAGTAGATATGAGTTATGAAGTCCAAGGAAAAGCAACCATAACAGGGATACATGATAGAATATAGAAGTAGGTAAGTGTAACTGAGTCTATCTTAAGAGTAGAAATTTTAAAGGAAAATCAAGTCCTTTTATATCAGTCACAAGAATGTGCTTTAGATGAAAACTGAAATTTATATAACTATAAACATTTTGTTTTTTACTGTTTTCAAAAATCATCTGAGTAAAATAATAACAAGGCTGCAGACTTGGGAAAATTTCTAGTCTGAATACCTAATACAGTTATCTTCTCATATGAAGGGTACATTTTTTCAAGACCCCGTGGATGCCTAAATCACGAATACTACTGAACACCACATGTAGTGTGGTTTTTTTTTTTTATGAATACATACCTATGGTAGTTTGTAAACTAAATTATATACACTAAGAGATGGTAATTTAGCTGTATCTCTCAACGGCCTGAGCATATATTATTTTTTCTTTTTTCATTAGGCCTCATTAGACTTTTTACTGAAAAGAAGTACTTTAAAGCTTCTCTTTGACATACCAAAATTGCCAGCATCACTACTTTTGCACTTCAGGGTCATTTATTAAGTAAAATAAGCATTACTTACTAACATTGTCAAACTGATGATAACTAACATGGCTGCTAAGTGAAAAGCATGTAGCATCTATAGCTCATATATGCTAGACAAAGATGTGTCATATCTTAGGCAGGACCTATTGCCAGATTTCATCACACTTCTCAGACATGCGCATGCTTTAAAACTGAAGAGTTGAGTCTTTTAACCCCCATTTGCCACGTGGTGAGCAGGAAATGTTTCTCTTTTTCTCTGTCTTTCTACTTTAACTCTGTTATACTAAAATAAATCCTTGGTAAAACTTCAAAAAGGAATTTTATGAGTTTTATTTCTGGAATTTTCTGCAATCACAGTTAACTATAGCCAACTGAAACCAAGGAAAGCAAAAGCACAGGTAAGGGGGGACCATTATACTATATGATGTTTCCCCCTAAATAACCTGTTATTAAACAGCTTTTGACCTTAAAATAATAAGCTTGTTAACTTTAAAATGTACTAGGGGCAATTTTGATAGTTACAGGGCAGGAACAGTTTCTGTTTAGTTTTCAGATTGCACGTCCTGCTCTAGGATCTTGCAGAGGAGTAGGGATGTGATAAATAGTTCTTAGAAATAAACTGTTTGCGTTTTCTCTATATGACGTAGGGTAATTACCCTTAGCAAAGGAGCTGTGTTTACCAATTAGATTTGATTTTGTATGGTTGAAAGGAATGGTTTTGGTAACTACAACAGTATCCAAGAATACACCTCCAGCCGGGTTGGAAAGTTCTTAAGATTAAGAATAGATTACAAGCCAGGCTGGAAAGTTCTTATGATTAAGAATAGATTATGAGCTGGGCACTGGTGGCTCATACTCCTAGCTACTCAGGAGGCTGCGATCTAAGGAGTGCAGTTCAAAGCCAGCCCAGGCAGGAAAGTCCATGAGACTTATCTCCAATTAACCACCAGAAAACCGAAAGTGGCCCTGTGGCTTAAAGTGTTAGAGCACTAGTCTTGAGCTGAAGAGCTGATGATCAGGGACAGCACCCAGGCCCAGAGTTCAAGCCCCAACAAAAAAAAAGAAAGGAAGGAAGGAAGAAATTATGATCAGAACAGACATCATGAATACTGTATACTTAGATATAGAGAAGAATTTTACATAAAAATGAGTCAGATACAATGATGATAACATAGTTCAGCAGACTTAACACTGATGAGCAATCCTAAGTCTTTCGGTCCTATCTGATGTAAGAAAAAAAAAATGAGCAAGAACTTTTTTTCCCATGGATTTTCACACTTCAGGTTTTGGGTTTTTTTTGCAAATTCTTTATTGTGATTAAGTGATTACATAATTTCACAAATTGTACAGTATTGTGGGATAGTGATGCTTAGTTAAATTCACAAACATTTCTAACTTTCATGGGGCAGATTGTCTATCATGATCTATAAAGTTTATGAGTTCTATGAGCTTTGACAATAGTTATTTCTTCCACATTGGGTGATATGTACATTCCTTTCCTTTTGCATAGCATCAGCTGTTCCCTTTTTCCCACTCATTCCCTCCCATCGCTGCCATTGAGTTGCTTAGTTCTTTTTGATCAATGTCCAATGCAGCTGATGGGTCCCATTGTTGTACGATTTTCCCCTTATTCCCTCTAGTTCTGTGTCCTCCTCCTAGTTTCCCTCCGGTGTGCATATACATACCATGTGTGTGATCAGCAGCATGAGGTTATTTAGTAGTGATTCGACCAGATGAGTGGAAGTCCTTTGTTTCTCAAGTCTTGTCAACTTTGTCGTATCACCTTAAGTTTTGGATTTAACATCTACTTATCAGGGAGACCATGTGCCATTTATCTCTTTGCTCTTGGCTTACCTCACTCAACATGATTTCTTCTAGTTCCATCCATATCCCTGCAGATGTAATTATTTTGTCCTTTCTAATGGCTGCATAATATTCCATTGTATATAGATACCACAATTTTTGGATCCATTCATCTGTGGTGGGGCATCTGGGGTGTTTCCATATCCTGGCTATTGTGAACATGTTCATGTGCCCTTGTATCCTGGTTCCTGTTGTTCAGGATAGATGCCTAGGAGTAGTGGTATGGCTGGGTCACAGGGGAGGTCTATATTTAGCTTTCTGAGGACTCTCCAGACTCCTTTCCAAAGTGATTGTATAAGTGTACATTCCCACCAGCAGTGTAATAGGGTTCCTCTTTCTCTGTGTCCCCTCCAGCATTTGTCGTTGGCTGACTTTAGGATGTGAGCCATTCTGATGGGTAAGGTGATATCTCAGGGTTGTATTTATTTGCATTTCCTTTACAACCAGGGATGGAGAACATTTCCTCATGTGTTTCTTTGCCATTTTTATCTCTTCTTCTGAGAAGTCTCTCTTTAGTTCCCTTGCCCAGTTATTAATTGGTTTGTTGGGTTTGGGAGGAATTAGTTTCTTAAGTTCTCTGTGTATACTGGATATTTACCCCTTGTCTGATATATTGCTGGTAAATATTTTTTCCCAGTTGGTTATCTTTCTAGCTTGGTTGCTATGACTTTAGCTGTGCAGAAATTTTTTATTTTAAGGTAGTCCGAGCCGGGCACCGGTGGCTCACGCCTGTGATCCTAGCTACTCAGGAGGCTGAGATCTGAGAATCGCGGTTCAAAGCCAGCCCAGGCAGGAAAGACCATGAGACTCCTATCTCCAATAAACCACTAGAAAACCAGAAGTGGCGCTGTAGCTCAAGTGTTAGAGCACTCGCCTTGAGCTGAAGAGCTGAGGGACAGTGCCCAGGCCCAGAGTTCAAGCCCCATGACTGACAAACAAAAAAAAAGGTAGTCCCATTTGTCGAGTCTCCCTCCAATTTGTTATGACCCTGGAACTCTGTTCAGGAAGTTCCTGCCTGTATCTATAAGTTCAAGTGTCTCTCCTACTCTGTCCTGCAGTAGTTTCAGAGATTCAGGTTTGATGTTAAGGTCTTTAATCTATTTTGAGTTGATGTTAGTGCATGGTGACAGGCTGGGGTCCACATTTAGTTTTGTGCATGTGGCCGCCCAGTTTTCCCAGCACCAGTAGTTGAGGAGGCTGTCAGTTTTAATATACATACATTGACTTTTAGAGATTTAATCAGTATTCAGACTTAATTGAATATCTCTTGTTCATGAAGTCCGGGATATTGAGGTTGTAAAGATACAAGCCATGACTGTACTTACATTGTTATATTTATTGAACAAACAAATTCCTCTTTCCTGCCTTTTTCTGCTTGCTTGCTTGCTTTTCTTGCTTTCTCTTCTCTTCTCTTCTCTTCTCTTCTCTTCTCTTCTCTTCTCTTCTCTTCTCTTCTCTTCTCTTTCTTTCCTTTCCCTCCCTTCCTCCCTTCCTCCCTTCCACCTTTCTTTCCTTCCTTCTTCCTTCCTTCCTCCTTCCTTCCTTCCTTCTTTCTTTCTTTCTTTCTCTTTCTTTCTTTCTTTCTCTCTCTCTCTCTCTTTCTTCCTTTCTTTCTTTCTTTCTCTCTCTCTCTTTCTTCCTTTCTTTCTTTCTTTCTTTCTTTCTCTTTCTTTCTTTTGTGCCTGTCATGGGGCTTCAACACTGGACTTGGGTACTGTCCCTGACCTTTTTTGCTCAAGGCCAACACTCTACCACTTGAGCCACAGCTCCACTTCCAGCTTTTTTGGTGCTTAATTGGAAATAAGAGTCGCATGGATTTTGCTGCTCAGGCTGGCTTCAAATGTTTAGATGTTCAAATTTTAGCCTCCTGAATATCTAGGATTACAATTACAGGTATAAACCACTGGCACCCAGCATCTTTTCTTCTTTGATTCTTAGAGATTCTTTATCCTCAAGCTTAGAATATATCATTTTCTAGCATTGTACCAAACAGGTAATCCAAGGTTCTTACTTTGCTGCCACTAGTTGAGAGATAAATACCATTTGGTTTAACAGCGGTTTTATCAGTGTTCTTAAGCAGGGAGAATTCAGAACAGAGAAAGAGAGTATGGGATCTTGAACTCAGGGCCAGAGCCAGGCAGAGCCTTGGCACTGTTGAGGGAAGAAAGAATTCAGAGCAAAGGGGTAGAAAGAGAGAGAGAGTGTGTGTGAGTCCGTGTGTGCGTGCGTGTGTATGTGTGTGTGTTATGGGGTCTTGAACTTAGCCTGGGCACTGTTGCTAGGCTTTTGTGCTCAAAGCTAGCACTCTATTACAACTTCACTTGCACCTTTTTGTTGGTTAATTGGAAATAAGAATGTCAGACTTTCCTTACCAAGGTGGCTAAACCAATATTCTCAGTTCTCAGCCTGTTGAATAGTTAGAGTTATAGATATAAGCCACCCATGCCTGGCCCAGATGAATATTCTCCATGTGAAGCAACCTCAGCCTACGCCTGGGGAATATAGCTCAGACACTTCCTAGCATGTGTGAAGCCCTTGGGTTGATCCTCAACACTGAAAAGAAAAAATTCTAAACAAAGCACAGACACCATGCAATATGAGAACCATAAAAGGTGATTGGTCACATTACGTTTCTATCACAACAGTAGCAGCTTTTTCAACAATAAAGAACAAAGTTTGATCAGAATATCTAATAGTGGGTGTCATGTAGTTAGTTCATAGGGTTTTCAGAAAAGTTTTCTAAGAGCAGTTAGTTCAAAAAAATAAAGAAGTTGAACTACTTGATTACTCTTGATTAGAAACACAAGTTCCTTGTTTTTCTGTAGAGTATTGTGAGTCGGGAGCTCAGTATCCAACACTTTTGTTCATTGATTGGCACTCTACTACTTGAGCCACACCTCCAACACCAAGAAACATGAATATTTTTAAATAAAGTCATTTACATATATTCTTTGATTAATGCTGCAATTTAAATTATTTAGCATTGTGCTGCTGCATCTCCATATCCTAAAAGGAAACAAATATGTGAATTGTTGTTAAGAAAAGGAGCAAACATCAACGAAAAAACTAAAGAGTAAGTATACTTTTCATATTTAAATATTACTGATATTTTGGTCTTCAGGAAATATACTCATTGGCTGACTTTTTCTCTTTAAGATTCTTGACTCCTCTGCACGTGGCATCTGAGAAAGCTCACAATGATGTTGTTGAAGTAGTTGTGAAACATGAAGCAAAGGTATATTTCATTTTTGGTAATCTTTGGTAATTCAATACATTATTTTTTATTTAGCAGGTGACTTTTTGAACTTTTTTATAAGGTTTTTTTTTCTCTTGATCTACACTTAAAAACAGTTTCATAGGTAATTTTTTTCTATATTTTTTGCTACAAGATTTACATTTTAATTACATACATATTCTTTCTTCTCCATTCCTTTTAACTATATCCCATTGGCCAAAGTCATCCTTAAGTACTCTCACTTTTATTCGGAGGTGGGAGGTCAGGTGGTATGTGTATGTGTATGTGCACACACATGTTTATATTCCTGGTGCTAGATTCAGATCAACTTACGCAATGCAACTTGAGCCATACCTCCAGTCTGGCATTTTATGGAATAATTGGAGATAAAGTCTTGCAGACTTTGCTGCCTGGCTTGCTTCAAACTATGATCCTCCAGGTCTCAGCCTCCTAGAGTAGCAAAGATTACAGATGTTGACTACCAGTACTCAGCTCTTTATTTAACAGTACATATTCCAGAATACATCCTAGCAAGAGACATACTGACTAGTCTTTTTCTAGTTGTCCTTTCTCACCTGCATCTTCCATTCCTTAGTTAGCACGATAACTCCTACTTGCCACAGAAATAATCTTTGTACCTTCTGTTATTTCTGTAACTAAGCCAAAGAACTTGAATAGAAAGAAAGAAATAATTTAAATACTTTAGTTAAAAACAATGTATCTACCCATCTTGATTAATGTCGTTTAGCATTTGTGTACAAAGCGTTTATTCACTGAGTAACTACTTCCACTAAGGCTAGAAATCATTATTTCTTATCTAGGAACTTTAAAAAAAAAAAAACTTAAAAAATACACAAAGCAGAAACAATAGTTAGCTACTTCAGCATTTTTTAAACTTCAGATATTGCCTTTTCAAACAAAACCTTTAGTAAAAGGGTACTATATAATAGAAAAAATGGATAAAGGAAGAATAAAGAAACAAAGACTTCATTTCTCTGGAATAGTCCTTGGGATCCTTTCCTAATCAGATTTGGGGGGAGGGTTGTTTTTGTTTTGGGGTTTGTTTTTTTTTTTTTGCATTAGTACTGGGGGTTGAATTCTCTTTTGGCTTTCTTGCTCAAGGCTACTGATCTACTTTCTGAGCCATACCTCCACTTCTGACTTTTTGCTGATTAGTTAAGAGATAAGAATCTCACAGACTTTTTTCTACTTTTTCTACCTGGGCTGGCTTCAAACCATGATCTTCAGATCTCAGCCTCCTAAGTAGCTAGGATTACTGGAGTGACCCACCCATACCCATCCCTAACCAGGTTTTGAAGAATAGTTTTATCTTTCCTTCCTTGGGTCTCTACTCAAAGAATTATTTAGAATTTTCCAGTTTCTTTTTCTGTTACCTTTCACTGTCGTAACCTCACTTTGATTTGGGGGAGTTCTTGATAATGTGCAAATCTTGGCCTTTCCTATTGTAAATTTTTCAATGAAATAAAGTTTATTTCTGCTTGACTGCTTGGCATATCTCATTTGTCTCTCTGTTCTGTACCTTCATTGATTACTTTTTTCATACATGTAGTGTGTTACTTGAAGAATATATTCATACATGTTTAAAATTGATTTTTTGAAACTCAAAATAGTCTTGACTAGGGTGACTGAGCACTCAGTTTTACCCAGGACTTGGAGATTTCAAAAAAACAGGATTTTCAGAAAGTAGTGCTGTGGCTTATTTGGTAGAGCGCTCTCCTTGAGCAGAAGAGCTGAGGGACAGTGCCCAGGCCCAGAGTTCAAGTCCCACAACCAACCAAAAAAAAAAAAAAAAAACCAGGACTTCTGGTGTAAAAACTGAAAAAGTCCCGGGCAAACTAGAACAAGTTGGTCACCCTAATCATAACACAATGGTATCCAAAACTGTTTTCAAGTGATGTTTCTTATACTGACGTGAAATCTTTCAGATTCTAAAAGAATGGAGAGTGGCTATTCATAGTCTAGTTTTATGTTCATTGCGGTGTTTCTATTTCTGATTTCATGAATATGAATCAGCCAGTATCTAAAAATGTATTAGTGGACACTAGGTTGATAACTGAAGAACTTAATTTCTCAGCTATGTTTTGAATTATATCTATGGTCATGAGGCAGAATTAAGGATGGAATAAGGTTGTACAAGTATTTTTTTCCTTGTGAAGAATTTCAAATATACAGCTGAATTGAAAAAATATTAAAGAACATAAAGATTTTGCCACTAACGTTTTATTATGTTTTTACATATCCATCAATCCTATTTTTTTATGTATATCAAAGTAAATTTCCAATTATTGTACTTATCCCTAATTATTTCCAAATGTGAACCAGTGTGAGCTCAACATTCATAATTTCTGTTTAGATAAATTACATGCCTTGAAAGGTACAGCTATTAAATGAACATTTGCTGAAATTTGACAAATGTATTCATCTGTGTAGCCAAAACTGTTGAGAGAAAGAACATGGGTTTGGTGATGTTGCTCAGTGGTCATAGCTTGCAAGGCCCTGGATTCAGCCCCCAGCATGACTACTACCCTACCAAAAAAGATAATATTAATATCCCATCCCTGGTAATGTTAACCTCTTGACGTAATAGCCATTTTTACTTTCTGACATGTTAGATTTGCCTCTTGAAGCCTTGATAACATGGAATCATACAGCATATACTCTTGTATAAGGATTTTTCCACTCTAATATTTTGGACATTCATCAACATATCAACATTGTTCCATTGAATTGCTGAGAAGTATTCCGCTGTGTGGATATACTCTTACATTTATGCAGATTATACTTTACATGATAATGAGATAGACAAACAACAGAAATAAATATTTTAAGGGCAGGGGCTGTGTCTCAGTGGTAGAAGCAAGCTTGCCTGGTTTGAACATAGTCAGAATTTAATCCCTAGAACCACAAAAAGGGAGGGAAAAGAGATGAGCATTTTAATGCTAAGTAATACCCACTTTTGTTCCTAGCCATTGTTAATCTCCATATCCTCCAGAGAGCCTGTAAAATTCACGGACTCAACTTTCTTGGCCGTGTCTAGCTCTAAATAGGATAAATCTATGGATGCTTTAATGTTAACCACAACTATTACTTAATGTCTCACAACTTTTCAATCAAAATTTGAGTTTTCTGGCCAGGTGCTGGTGGCTTATACCTGTTACTCAAGGGGCTGAAGTCTGAGGCTAATGGTTCAAAGCCTGTCCAGGCAGGAAAGTCCATGAGACTCTTGCCTTCAACAAACCACTCAAAAACTGAAAATAGAGCTCTGGCTCTAAGTGGTAGAGCAGAGTACTAGCCTTGAATGAAGTAGCTCAGAGATACTGCCCAGGTCCTGAGTCCAAGCCCCACACCAACAAAAAGAAAGTTATTAAATACTACTAACATATAGGGATGATAAGAGATTTAAACCCATTGGTACTAAATCTACAATAATAGGTTACCAGATGTTTTTATTTGGTTTGAGGCACTTGAGCAGAACTACGGATGTGAGTATCAAAAAGGAATTTTCCTTCAAGTTGCCTGCATTGTAACATTGGCAGCATAGTATGGTAGCATAAATTTACTGCACTATAGACTAACTTCAACTTTATCTGCGTTAAGGTTAATGCATTGGATAATCTTGGTCAGACGTCCCTGCACAGAGCTGCACATTGTGGACACTTACAAACTTGTCGTCTACTCCTGAGCTATGGATGTGATCCTAACATTATATCCCTTCAAGGCTTTACTGCCTTGCAGATGGGAAATGAAAATGTACAGCAACTCCTTCAAGGTATTAAGTGCTTACATCATCATCATCATCATCATCATCATCATTATTATTATTAGCCTTTACTTTTTTACGTACTAAGTATTGTATGTAAGAGTTGGTAAGTAAAAGAAAATTTTTGTTTTCTTCTTAGTTCATACTTTAAACACTTCATTATACTTAATACCCAAATGTCATTAACTCATATGATTTTGTTCAAGTAGCAATTTTGCCGAGTTGCTCTAAGTAGATGCCTTTAACTTTTTTATAAAGGAAGTTTTTTTGATTTTTGGTTTTTGGTTTTTTTAAAAAAAAAAAACCTTTTCTTCTGGATGTAGTGGTGCACACTTGTAATACCAGAATGTAGCATGATAGCTGTTGGCTATATAATGAGACTGTGTAACAGCGTTGGTTTTTTGTTTTGGGTTTTTTAAAATTAAGATACAGCTAACCCACACACACTTTTTAGCTCACACTGGTGATTCTAGATACTCAGGATGCTGGACGTTCACAGTTCAAAGCCAGCCCAAGCAGAAAAGTCTGAGAGACTACATCTCTAACAGCAAAATGCAAGACTGGAAGTATCGCTCAAGTCAGTAGAGTGCTAGCTAAGCAAGCTGAGAATGAGTCCAAAGACGTGAGTTCAGGCCTCAGTACCCAGTGAAAATAAGAAGAAAGGAAAACTTAAGAAGGTGTAAGGGGGCCAGACACTGGTGGCTTATGCCTGTATTCCATGCTACTCAGGAGGCTGAGAATCTGAGGGCTGCTGTTGAAAGTCAGTCCAGGTAGGAAAGTCTGTGAGACTTTTACCTCCAGTTAACCACCAGAAAACTGGAAGTGACACTGTGGCTCAAAGTGGTAGAGCACAAGACTTGAACAAAAAGAGCTCAAGGAAACACCCAGGCCCCATGTTCAAGCCCTACAACTGACAAAAAAAGGTGTAAGGGTCTTCAAGGATCTTTTAGTATAACAATCCTAGTGATAAGTACAGCCTAAATACTAGCTGTGCTTCATTGCTTTTTAGATCCTGCCTATTGAAGGAATGTGGAATTTATATGAGTTATTAGAACTTACTTCATTGAATTTGTTCATATTCATTATTTTAAGATATTTAGATTAAACATCTTCACACTGAACATAGATTGAACATAGATCTCAAAACTCAGGTAGCAAATAGATCAAGCCTTTACTTTCTCATTTTAACAGTAATTCTTGATGATCTTATGCCGGTGATGTGAGAACCACTTTGCAATGTACTGCTTAAAGAGATGAAGGCAGATTGATATAACCTCCTAGGATCTGCCACAATTGAATTAACTACAAATCTACTTTCAAGATTACTCCCATATATTACACTTGATTAGAGATTAAGAATACTAGTCCTGCTCAGTTCCCCAGTGATAGAATTTATAGCCTTGGCAGTTTTATGCTAAATAGTATTATATAGTTTTACTTATCTTTCCCACTCATTTCTTAGAATAAATTTGGAATTTTCAAGGTAGATTATCTTCTAGAAAAACTATATACTATTTTGCACTCCTGCTAACACTAATGACATGTTTTCCTTGTCAGCACCAGCTATTACAATTCTTAATGTCTTCCTTGGCTAAGCATGCATTAGTGAATTAAAAAAAACTCTTTTTAATGCAAACTAGAAATACGGTCTGTATAGCTCCCCAGTTCCTCTTTTCCTATTGCTGGGTAAAAACACCATTTCATTTTAGTATTTCTGAGTATAAGTAAGTTCAAACATAACTTTATTGGCCATTTCTCTTTTTCTGTGTATTAATTACTTGTTAATATACTCAGATTTGTATTAAACCCTTCCTGGTTAATCTTCATAAGAACGCTTATATATAAACGTATTTTTTAAATACATACTGTAATATGTGGTTTTCCATATTGTCTTACAGCTTTGTTAAGTGCCATGACATTACCTGATGTTTTTTAAATCAATTTTCATTTTTAGTTTTGCCTTTGAAGTGATACCCTAAGAAAATTTTCTAAAATGTAGAAATATTTACCTAAGTTTTTTCCTAGGTTTTGTTTAGTTTTGTTTTTTTGTTCTGTGTTAGTACTGGGGTTTGAACTCAGGGCCTTGTGCTATTGGTAGGCTTTTTCCACTTATACTTGCTGCTCTACCACTTGAACCATGCCTCCAATTCCAATTCTTCAGAATTGAAAAATACATTGAAGCTCAGGAAATTAAAGTGATTTATCCAAGTTCATTAACTAGTTAATGGCAGAATTAGTCTCCTAATTTAATACTTTGCTGGCATTCCTCATAGTTATAGGGCATACCATTACCTTCATTACCTATTTTGTATTTTCTATGCTCAAGTCACATTTTATAACTACACATACTTATATAATATTTATATTCAGTATGTTTCAGAATATTGTTAGGAACTTTAATATTTTTCCTCACTACTAAGGAAAATTTCCTATATAATCTAGTAAACTTGTAAGAGATCTTTGCTCTTTAGAAAGGTACCTCCCTTGAAGCGTAGTGCTATTTTCTAAATAGAAGTTAATCATAACTTTTCCTCTCTTTCTTTTTAGAGGGTATTCCGTTAGGTAATTCAGAGGCAGACCGACAATTGCTGGAAGCTGCAAAGGCCGGAGATGTGGAAACTGTAAAAGTAAGATAAAATTGAATGTTTTTGTTAGCTTTAGAGTTTGTCTTTTGACATTGTTTAATGAATTTGTACTATTATAATGAAGGTCTTGGTTTTTGTGTGCCTTGCTTTAAAAGGACAAAAATACCTACCTCTATGAAAATAAGGAACACTAGGTAATGAAAGAAAAAGATTTAAAGTTTCAGATTTCAGTAAGTATCACATTCACTAGTTTAAATTTTATATAACACCAAGTAGATTTTATTTAAAGAACTGTTCATTTGTCCCTTTAAAAGACTAACATGTAGTGGGGTGCCAGTGACTCACATCTATTGTCCTAGCTACTCAAGAGGCTGCGATTTCAGGATTGTGGTTCAAAGCCAGCCTGGGACAGGAAAATTTGTGAGACTCATCTCCAGTAAAAACTAGCCTTGAGCAAAAGAAGCTCAAGGACTGCACCCAGACCCTGGGTTCCAAGCCCCATGACCAACACCAATAAAGAAAAGTAAGGTGTATACTGGGAATGGTGGCAAATACCTGTGATCCTGACATTGAGATGACAGGTGCAGAAAGAAAGGTCCTGTTTTAGGCCAACCATAACTACATAGCAAGACCTTGTCTCAATAAAAGGCAAAGACTGGGGTGTGGTTCAAGTGATAGAAAAACCTCATTAAGTGAGAGGCCATGAATTCAAATCCTGGAACTACCCCCCCCCCAAAAAAAAATAAAACAAAAACTCTACAACAAAAATAAGGTGCATCAAATTACTGTCCAGTATTGTTTACAGATGACACATAAACAGGTTTCCTCATTTCTTTCTCCCCTCTGCCTCTGGGATCTATGTTGATACAGTAGTAATATAGTTATTGCCCCTTCTCAGAGCCACTGTCTTCTAATATTCCACTGTTAATCTAGACTACTGTTTGTTTTGCTTACAGCAACCAACTTTGGTTCTTGTCTACCCCATTTCCTAAATCAGTCTTCCTCAGGAAAACCTTTCCTGAGATTCTGCTTAGACTTTGTCATATATCTGTATGTAATGTTTTACTGCCAGTACCAGGTTATCTGTTATCTACAGAAATACTCTGATGAATAACTCAAAAACCTAATGTTTTCAAAGACCAAGAGTTTCACAATTCAGCTACTTAATACAAATTAGAATTTTTCAGCATGTTTTATTATTAGCTAAATCTTCAGAGGGTTAAAATTTTTAAAGCTAATTTTTAAAGCTTTCTGTATTTCCTTTCCAAAACTTGATGATACTTGAGGGGACAACAATGATTGATAAGTTTTATAAAAAGCTAAATTTTATTTATAGTAGAAGTAATTATTTGAAATAATTTAACTATATTTCTATATAGTTGTTTCAGTCCTAAACAAACCTCCTACACAATGTCAATTTAGACTTTTTTCCCCCCGGTCATGGGGCTTGAACTCCAGGCCTGGGAGCTGTCCCTGAGCTTTTCAGCTCAAGGCTAATGCTCTACCACTTGAACCACAGCACCACTCACTGTTTTTGGTGGTTAATTGGAGATAAGAGTCTCACAGACTTTCCTGCCTGGGCTGGCTTTTGAACCGAGATCCTCAAATCTCAGCTTCCTGAGTAGCTAGGATTACAGACATGAGCCACCAGCACCTGGCCTAAACTGTCTGATAGAGAAATGCATTGTTGGCCTCATTCTGGAGCTTCAAGATAATTTATTCAGTGGTTTTGTTTTTTGACTTGTTTTTGTTTTTGAAATAGGGTAAATCTCATGTAGTCCAAATTCAGTTCTCTCAGCCTCACAAGTTATTGGGATCACAGATGTGTACCATGCTTGTCCTTGATCTCTTAAATGAAAAGCTTTCTGAAAACTGATTTTTTAATGCATCTTACCCTTTTATATTGCTGAATCTGAATAACGAAATTGTTTTTTGCAAAACAAATGATAAAAACTTAAAGGCAAATAGATAAGGACAGACAGCTAGCTGACTTTTTGTATGCATGTGCCAAGAAATTGGTAAATTTTAAATGCTTACTCATTTATCCTTATTAAAGAACATAAAGCCATTTAACCAGTTTCAGAACATGAAACTGTTATAAGCATAAAATTATATAATCAAACTTTGCCAGGAATAATGGTACACCTGTTATAACCACACCAGGATGTTAAGGCAAGAGGATCAAGAGATGGAGCAACCTAGGTGACATAGCAAGACACTGTATCAAAAGGAAATAGTTAAGCATTGTTTTCATAATAAAGGAGGCCAGAAGAAGAAATCAGTGAAGAAAAATACAAGCTTGAGGCTAGAGTAGACTTAGAGAATAAAATAAGAAAGACCATCTCTCCCTGTGATAAGACATTAGTCTGTCTTCCTTCAGCTTTTAAAATCCCCTTGTTGGAAGTTTATCACCGTTAACCTTTTTCTAAGCAAATGGATCTGTATGCATCAAGAGCATCTGCCTACCAGTGAATACTTACGTGCTCATTTGTATTTAGTGGTGACCCATTAGTCTAGATGATTTATCAAATACAAATAGAAAAATCTGACTGAGAATGGATAAAATTACATAGGAAGTAAAATGATCTGTAATAATTACCACATCTAGTAGTACTTGGTACTCATATTAAACAAATTCATTCCTGCTCATTGGACACTAATGAAAGTGAACTATACAACTCGTGAATAGAGATGAGAGGGAGAGACTGGGGGAGAATGTCTCACATAATTGTAATCTCTTTGTACATCACCTTTATGATAACAACAAAATAAATAGCTATTAAAAAAGAAAATGAACCAGACACCAGTGGCTCACACCTGTAACCCTAGCTTCGCAAGAGGCTGAGATCTGAGGATCACCCTTCAAAGCCAGCCTGGGCAGCAAAGTCCATGAGACTCTTATCTCCAATTAACCACCAGAAAACCGGAAGTGACGCTGTGGCACAAGTGGTAGAGCTGAGGAACAGCGCACAGGCCCAGAGTTCAAACCCCAGGACAGACCAAAGGAAAAAAAAAAAAAAGGCTGGGTGCTGGTGGCTCACGCCTGTAATCTCAGGAGGCTGAGATCTGAGGCTTGCAGTTCAAATTCAGCCCAGTCAAGAAAAGTCTGTGAGACTCATTTCCAATAAACCACCAAAAAACCGGAAGTGGTGCTGTGGCTCAAATGGTAGACTGCTTGCCTTGAGCTGAAGAGCTGAGGGACAGCACCCCGGTTCAGAGTTCAAGCCCCACGACCGCCAAAAAAAGAAAAGAAAGAAAATGAATTCTTAACTAGTGCAGTGTGACTTAGTCTCTTAAGTTTGGTTCCTTGACCATCAATATCACATCACCTAGAAATGTAAATTCTCAAAACCCAATCCAGCCACAGAATGTAAACATCTTGAGATTTGAAACAACTACTGGTCCAGAGGAGGACATTTCAAACTTTAATGTGCTTATAGATCACCTAGAGATCTTATTATAATGGAGACAGGGAGAAGACACCAAGGCCTTAGCCACCCTAGCATCAAATAGTTCTCCTATCTCTGCCTCCTAAGTGCTGGAATCAGAGACATACCCCACCACACCTGGCTTAAAATACTCAGGCCTGGTGCCAGTCACTCTTGTCTATAAATCCTAGCTACTTAGGAAGCTGAGATCTGAGAATCACTATTCAAAGCCAGTCCAGTTAGGAAAAGTCCCAAGATTCATATCTCCTATTAACTACCAAAAAGTCAAAAGTGGAGGTGTAGCTGAAGTGGTAGAGCTCTAGCCTTGAGCAAACAGATCTACAGGACAGCATCAAGGCCCTGAGTTCAAGCTATAATACTGGCACAAAAAAAAGAAAAAAGAATAAATGATTGGAGAAAACTAATGAGACAAAATAAGTGAGACATTTGAAATTTCTGCTATATGAGTTGAAACAAGAAGATTTTATAGCATTGTTTGTTGTATTCAATCCTTCAGAAACTGTGTACTATTCAGAGTGTCAACTGCAGAGACATTGAAGGACGTCAGTCTACGCCACTCCATTTTGCAGCTGGGTATAACAGAGTGTCTGTGGTGGAATACCTGCTACAGCACGGAGCTGATGTGCACGCTAAAGATAAAGGGTAAGCACCAGCAACTACCACACATCCTTGGCCTTTTAGGAAGAAGAAAACACTTTGTTGATAGTTGCCAACTTTTTTCTTTAAATAACAGTTTAAATGTAGTTTCTCAGTTTCAAGATAAGGTTAGCAATTATATGACACTCTTTTTTTGTTTGTTTGTTGTTTGTGGGGCTTGAACTACTGGGCCTGGGTGCTGTTCCTGAGCTCCTCAGCTCAAGGTAAGTGCTCTACCACTTGAGCCACAACCCCACTTACAGTTTTCTGGTGGTTAATTGGAGATAAGAGTCTCACAGACTTTCCTGCCTAGGCTGGCTTTGAACCATGGTCCTCAGATCTCAGTCTCCTGAGAAGCTAGATTTACAGGAATGAGCCACTAGTAAATGTTTTTATTGTTTATTGAAGATGTTTGAATTTTTCAAATGTACCTTGAAATCATTTTTACTAAAAAATAATACAATTCTCACCCACATGTCAATGGTTCATGCCTATAATTCTAGCTATCAGGAGGCCTCAAGAATTGAGGATCACAATTCCAAGCCAGCCCAGATAGCGAAGTCCTTGAGACTCTTATCTCCATTAACCAGCAAAAAGTCAAGTGAAATGGAAACAAGGGAAGGGGGGAAAAAAGCCAAAAATGGAGATGTGGCTCAAGTTGTGAAGTGTTCATCTTAAATGAAAAAGCTAAGGGACCAGTGTTCGGGTACTGAATTCCCAGTTCTGGTACATTCAAATAAATAAATAAGCATATATACAAATATACATAATTCTAGATATTAAGTTACCTGAATGTTTATCATATTGTCTGCATTTAAAATGTTTTTTAAAAACTCACCCCCCTCCAAATTTTTTATTTTCTGTTTTCCATAGATTTAGGTTCTTTAAAGTACAATAATTAGGCAGTTTAAGAAATGTCTTTCAGGGCTGGGAAGGTGGCTCAGTGGTAGAGCGCTTGCCTTGCATGCCTGAGGCCCTGGGTTCGATTCCTCAGCACCACATAAGCAAAAAGAAAAAAGCCGGAAGTGGCGCTGTGGCTCAAGTGATAGAGCGCTAGCCTTGAGCGGAAGAGCTGAGGGACAGCGCCCAGGCCCAGAGTTCAGGCCCCACGACTGGACCCAAAAAAAAAAAAAAGAAATGTCTTTCATGGGCTGGGAAGGTGACTCAGTGGTAGAGCGCTTGCCTTGCATGTCTGAGGCCCTGGGTTCGATTCCTCAGCACCACATAAGCAAAAAGAAAAAAGCCGGAAGTGGTGCTGTGGCTCAAGTGGTAGAGCGCTAGCCTTGAGCTAAAGAGCTGAGGGACAGCGCCCAAGCCCAGAGTTCAGTCCCCACGACCGGACCCCCTCTCCCCCCCCAAAAAAAATGTCTTTCATCATTTATGTATAATTGTTGAAATTAAATCATGTCTTTTTCTGGTTTTATTCATTTACCTCTTTATTTCAGAGGCCTTGTACCTTTGCACAATGCATGTTCTTATGGACATTATGAAGTTGCAGAGCTTCTTGTTAAGCATGGAGCAGTAGTTAATGTAGCTGATTTATGGAAATTCACACCTTTACATGAAGCTGCAGCCAAAGGAAAATACGAAATTTGCAAGCTTCTGCTCCAGGTATATTTCAAATACTTCTGTGGACAGGGTAAATTATTTAGCAAAATTTAACTTTTTCCAGCAACTCTCGTATAAAATTACACTTATTGAGAGTTTCAATAAGTAGATTTCAGGGGAAAAAAAATGTCTTGAACATTATTTTAATTGACAAACTCAACATTTCACAGGTCTGTTTACCTGTACAGTTTAGTTATTTAACTTTAAATGCTTTGAAGTATATAGTTTATAAACCAAATTAATTTAACATTGATAAAGTTGATGGCACTAGTGTCACAGTAAATACATTAGAAGATAGATTCACACTTTTTGAAAGGTAAAAATCCATGAGTTATAAAATAATGATTCAGTTAATGGTAAACTTCAGATATTTTTATTGTAATAAATTATAAGGCTGCTGAAAATGTTTTTGATAACTAGGTACAAAAATATATCTCTCATTCTGGGCTGGGAAGGTTGCTCATTAGTAGAGTGCTTGCCTTTCATGCATGAGGCCCTATGTTTGATTCCTCAGCACCACATAAGCAGAAAAAGCCAGAGAGTGCTGTGGCTCAAGTGGTAGACCGCTAGCCTTGAGCTGAGGGACAGCGACTAGGCCCAGCATTCAGGACTCATGACCGACAAAAAAAAAAAGAAAGAAAAGAAAAAGAAAATATCGCATTGTGTTAGTTATCTATGATATTTTATATATTAGCAGACTGTTTGGGTTTATAACTTAGAAGCAGTAAACTATACCATGTAGCCTAGCTATCTAGGCTCTGCTATCTACATTAGTGTAAATAGGTGTTTGGCTATGATATTTGCACAATGATGAAATCACTTGGGAATGCATTTTTTTCAGAACCTGTACCTGTCATTAATTAAAGCATGACTATGATGTACATCAATTAATTTTTGATGAAATACTTTTATTTTAAATGTAGTTTAAAATTGTTATCATTCATGCCTTATTAAAAATCCATAATACTTAACTGCTTCTATATTTTCACATTAATAACAATCATTTTAACTTAGGGTATAAAATTAGTTTCGTTGACTTGGTTGCATTGACTTTTCTCAATTATGAAAGATTCACCTAAAGTCCTTCCTCTTCTCTTTTTATTTTTCAATCTCCAGCATGGTGCAGATCCTACAAAGAAAAACAGGGATGGGAATACTCCTTTGGATCTTGTTAAAGATGGAGATACAGATATCCAAGACCTACTTAGGGGAGATGCAGCCTTGCTAGATGCTGCCAAAAAAGGTTGTTTAGCCAGAGTGAAGAAGTTGTCTTCACCTGATAATGTAAATTGCCGTGATACCCAAGGCCGACATTCTACCCCTTTACATTTAGCAGGTATGTGAATGAAGTTTCACAGACTTTGATTGGTGAAGTAAAATATTGCCTATAAGTTGTGCGTCAGTGGCTCAGGCCTGTAATCATAGCTACTTAGGAGGCTGAGATCTGAGGATTGCTCAAGAAAGTCTGTGAGACTCTTATCTCCAATAAACCACCAGAAAACAGGAAGTGACACTGTGGCTCAAGTGGATCTTTTTCTTTTGTCAGTCATGGGACTTGAACTCAGGGCCTAGATGCTGTCCCTGAGCTCTTTTGCACAAGACTGATGTTACTTTGAGCCAGATCTCTACTTCCAGTTTTCTGGTGGTTAATTGAAGTCACAGATTTTCCTTCCTTTGCTGACTTCAATTACCACAATCTTCAGATCTCAGCCTACTGGGTAGCAAGGATTACAGGAATAAGCCACCAGCACACCCGGCTTTTGGGATCTTTGTTAAGAATCCTGTATTGCTTGAATCATCTTTGGTGAATTTAAAAATAAGCCTGCTTCAGCTAGCCTTCCTCATGGGAAGCTAAAGCTTCTACTTTTCTGATGATTGCTGCTAAATACAAACCACAAAATAATCATTAAAATATTGAAGGAGTTACATAAACCTTTGCCAAAGTTATTTTTGTGTTTATTTTGCAAGAACTGCCAGAATCAACAACAAATTTTTTTCTCATAGGTCTTACCAAGACACTGACCAGATTAGATTAATCCCTATCTTAATGGCTTCATTTTCACTTCTTTGTCTCTTTAAAGACTCCATCTCCAAATACAGTCACATCCAAGCCACTTGAGTTAAGGCATTGATCCCATTTGTTCTACCTTTTCCTTCACGAAGTTGACCTTCAGTGCACTGTTGGTTTTAGTGTAGGTATACAATGATATGATCTCAATATAATGTTTTCAGCTGCATTGCAGATACTAGAGAATAAGTTATGAAAATCTCAGAGCTACATCTAATGCCTCAGGAGAGTTCCATAATAGACACAATTATCTAAACCTAGTTTAAAACAAAAGTAAAAATTAAGTAATACAGATATTTCTTCTAGTTTTATATAACATAAGAAATGAAAAACATTTCTGAGTTCATGTCAGTCTTGTAGCATAACTCAGTGTGTTGCTAGTGTTTGGACCCCAAACATTATCCAAGAATATGAATTACTTTAACTATGCTCTGCGTTAGAGCATTTTTGGAAAGGACAAGCCATAAATGACAAAGCAAAAGCTTCACTACTTCCTTCCTTGTGCCAGTTTCTAGTCCATGCAATGTATGGGTATAACCTGGTCGGAAGTTGTACTGTACATATTTGATTAGCTTTTTTATCTTTATTGTAGCTTAGTACAATATTTAGCAGTAATATTAAAATTTATGTTGAGTATACAAGATATTTCTCTCAAACTATTTTTGTAGGATTAAATGCTATACCTTGAGACCTAGAAAGAGTTCTAGATTATTATAATAGTTTATGGTCATTTTGGTTTTCTCACTTGATTTTTAAAATTTTTCATACTTTAGATCCTTCAACAAAAAATAAAAACAACTACAGTAAACATAAGTATGAATAAAACATTTGAACCATTTTTCAAGTTTCAAGTGATATCTGTTTCTATGTTCCCAAAGTTAAGTTGAAAATTTGCTTTTCTTTTCTTACGATTGTATGTCAAATAGAATATACTTTATTGATAGAATGGTAGCTGGGAGATTATGCATGTTTCCAAAATACAAAGCTTTACTTCATGGCTTTAGCAGTGAGTAGATTCCTTAATCAGAGATAGGAACATGTAAATTCTCCCTAGCAAAGAGCATATGCTTTTATGTATGACCTGAGAATGAGTACTTTCAGACTCATCCTGCTGTTCTGCTTCTAATGTTACAGCTAACTTACACTCCTAACTTGGTTTTTTATGTGTTTAGATGCCTGTGACTTAAAGAATCCTTGAGAAAATAAACCTGAGTTTAGGAGTTATTACGTAACGACTGTGAAAGCAAGGACTGGGGTTTTTTTGGTTTTGTTTTTTTGTGGGGTTTTTTTTTTTTTTTTTTGGTCAGTTGTGGGGCCTGAACTCTGGGCCTGGGCGCTGTCCCTCAGCTCTTCAGCTCAAGGCTAGTGCTCTACCACTTGAGCCACAATGCCACTTCTGGCTTTTTCTGCTTATGTGGTGCTGAGGAATCGAACCCAGGGCCTATGCTTGCAACACAAGCACTCTACCACTGAGCCACCCTCCCAAAAGCAGAGACTTTGATAGGAAGGTACAAGAAAGCTGATCAATAATGTTTTGGGAGTCTCTAAAACCAATGAACATCATCACCAACCAAAAAGTTCCCCAAGATTTTACACCAGTATCAATCTCCCTTCTGTCCTTGCTTTCTACATTTTATTTGTTTGGTTTTGAGGGAAGGGAGTTAGCAGTAGTGGGCTTTGAACTCAGGGCCTTGCAGATGATCTACTGCATTTTGCCCAGCCGGCCTCAGACATGGACTTAAATTATAATCCTGCCTGCTTCCCAATCTCTGCCTCCGAGTAGCTGGGATTTTTAGTGTGAACCACCATAGCTGGCCTCAGAAGCTAAGTTTTAATAGACTCAATAATTTCAGATTATATAAATTTTCTTTTTTGTTTTTAGTATCTATGCTTTATAAATATAGCTGTATGCAACATGTAGGTGACTGTATTACAAGTGAAAGTAATATGGTGGGGTTTTTTTTTTTTAGCTGGTTATAATAATTTAGAAGTTGCAGAGTATTTGTTACAACATGGAGCTGATGTTAATGCTCAAGACAAAGGAGGACTTATTCCTTTACATAATGCAGCATCTTATGGGGTAAGTTCTGTGATAACCTTTTAAAATCCATGTAATTTTCAAAGTGAAAGTCAATATTGAAGTGCATATGGAATTTAGTTTGACTTTTTTCATTTTACAGAAAAGTAAAAGCTAAATTATATATAAGTTTTAGCTCTGAAACTACTTGTAAGCTTGCTGTGTTGCGATTGTTTTATTGTCTTGCTTAAGACTTCTCTCTTATTTTCAGTGAGATATTATCAATATGTTTATTTGTTCATGCTCAGGAAATCCATAAGGTTTCACAAGAATTTGTAGGGGTACAGGTACCTTCTTTCTGATTCTGAATAACCCTGAATGGTATGGTCAATGTTAACCAGTATCAGTAGTGTAGTTTGAATAATTGAGGAAGGCTACTAGTTTATAAGTTGATATTAAGTTATAACACATGAGTAAGTTTGAAATCATTAAAGTAGTTTCTTATATAGAATCCTGAACTATTTTCTAAGTAGTTCTCAAGTTACTGAAATTTCTACTGTAATTTTAAGCAGCTACCATAAATTAGTGTCATTTTCAGAGTTAATTTTGAAAATGTGGAGGTAGGTACAGACGTCATTTCTTCTTAAGAACTAAAGTGTAATAATATAATATGTCAGACCATAACAGTAGTATTTTCTTTTACAGCATGTAGACGTAGCAGCTTTACTAATAAAGTACAATGCCTGTGTCAATGCCACGGACAAATGGGCTTTCACACCTTTGCATGAAGCAGCCCAAAAGGGACGAACACAGCTTTGTGCTTTATTGTTGGCCCACGGAGCTGATCCTACTCTTAAAAATCAGGAAGGACAAACACCTTTAGATTTAGTTTCAGTAAGTGATGGGCTCTTTGAAAAAACCTTAATGCTTTCCTGACCTTTTAAAATTCACTTGATAGATTTATATAAAATGTCTTTATAGTGAATGTAACAAAATCTGGTTTTCTGCCCAAACTTAAATTTTAAAATTCTTTGGTATTAAAATTTAAATAATAGAATTATTGATCAGTAATTTTGTACTAAGTACCATGAAAGTAGGGGAAAAAAACACTATTAACTGCTTAGGAAACAGTAACAAGCCCTCCATGAATGTTATAATAGTAACAAGATTGTATAGACCATCAGTCTTAGGAACAGTGCCCTGAAGGTAAACCTACCCAGCCGGCTACTAATAGAGATGTCCTTTTCTTCCCACACAACTTCTTTCATTCTTGTTCTTTTCCCCAATAGAATTTATATAGGAATGTCAACTATAGCTTCCACCTCTACTTTGACCACTGTAGCACAAGTGTAATTTTGCTTGCCAGAGCAGTAAAGAAACAAGAGCTCCTTTGAGATGGAAAGGAAAAAGTCTCTTCTACAAATTGCTTTCTACTGAGATTCTACTATTCCAAGCTACAATGAGAAAATGATTTAGTTCAACTGTATCTGGGGTTTAAATAGATTTTCCTTAGCAGGCTGACAATCAGATCATAATTACTGCTTGATTCCTTCAGTTCTTTCAGTTCCAAGCTACTTTAGAGAGTTCATTTTCCCCATATGTTCATTCACCATATAATTAAGTGGCAGAGAACAAAATACTAGAGATCATGCATGAGCTTTAGAATATTATCCTAGAATTCTAGCTCTGTCATGGTTGTACATTCTACCAAGTTTCCTAATTGCTAAGGTTTAGATATGTTATCTGTAAGGAGTAAAACATGTCTGCTCAATATGAGAAGTAAATTAGTTAATATATTTAAAGTCCTAGATATGACATCAGACACATAAAAAGCATGCAATAACTGGTACTATTGTTATAAACAAGTGTTATATACAGAAAAGGTACAAATTGAGTGGGGAAAGAGAAAAGTAAAGATTGGGTTGGTGCAGGGTATAAACTGAAAACATTGATTTACTTCTTGCTGGATGTTTTTACCCAGTATCTTGTGAAAGATGGTTTTTGTTGCTAATGAAACAGAGTAATATCAGCAAGTTTGGGAGAGTTTCCCATTCTAGCAGATTTGACTAAAATTATCTTTGTTACCAAAAATTTTGTTTTTGGTCTGGGAAGGTAGCTCAGTGGTAGAACACTTGACTTGCATGCTTGAGGCCCTGGGTTCGATTCCTCAGCACCACATAAGCAGGGGGGAAAAAGCCGGAAGTGGCTCAAGTGGTAGAGTGTTAGCCTTGAGCTAAAGAGCTGAGGGACAGCGTCCAGGCCCAGAGTTCAGGCTCCACAACCAGAACCTCCCAAAAAAGTTTTTTTTGTTTTCAATTTTGAGAAACAAACATATCACTATTTTCTATTAAATACAAACATTAGTCTGTGCTTAAGTTCTACATCTGTTGAATTAGAACAACTATAGTAGGGTTAAAAACTGACCTTTTTAAAATTGTTGTGACTATAATTGGTTTCAGTGTCCTTTAATCATGATATCAAAATTAGGATTTTGTTCATGTTTTGCCACATTTAACAGATTTATTTTGATTTTATGTGGCTTGGAAGGGATGTTGGCAATTATGTTTTATACTTAATAACAATTTAGCTAATTGTTCACCTTACCTATAAAATAATCAAGTGTTTATCAGCATTATATGATAATAGTCTTAGTGCACATCTACTGGGTTTTTGTCATGTTTTTTATTGTATCCTACTAGGTATAATGGAATTTTAAATTTTGCTTATGACAGATTCTTCTCTGTTTAAATATACCCTAGGCTGATGATGTCAGTGCCCTCCTGACAGCTGCTATGCCTCCTTCTGCTCTGCCTTCATGCTATAAACCTCAAGTGCTCAATGGTGTGAGAAGCCCTGGAGCCACTGCAGATTCTCTGTCTTCTGGTCCATCTAGCCCATCAAGCCTTTCTGCAGCAAGCAGTCTGGACAACTTATCTGGGAGTTTTTCTGAACTGTCTTCAGTAGTTGGTTCAAGTGGACCAGAGGGTGCTTCCAGTTTGGAGAGAAAGGAGGGTGAGATATTCTGTAATTCAGTCCTGGGGCTTGAACTTGGGGTCTATGCGCTGTCTCTGAGCTTTTTTGCTTGGGGCTACCATTCCACTAATGGCTTTTTGGTGGTTTGTTGGAGATAAAGTGACACAGACTTTTTTGCCTGGGCTGACTTTGAACCATGATGTTCAGCTTAACAAAAACTTTAACTGGCATTGTAGCCTCATATTTGTCATTTAGAATGGTAGAAAGTCGTTTTTTAACCTTAAACGTAACTATTAATCTAAATTATAGCCTTTTGTTGTTTTTTCACATTACTAATAGAATTCCTAATGAAACTATGTCCTTCCAAGTTGAAAGTTGACTCTTACCTCTGCTTAACTAATCTTCAGATGTAAACCTTCGCCTGTCAAAATTCCGCTTACCTTATCCACAATAATTTGTTTCAACCCCTTTGACCTTGAGATAGCTTCAACCTCCTATATGCTAGCCTTACAAACATATACTACCATGCCAAATTATGGACCTTGTTTTGAAAAGGAGCCTACATTCTGAAAGATAAATCATTAATCTTAAAGATAAGGTTAAAAATAAAATATAAAACTAAAAATGAGAAGTTTTTTTTAATTAATTTATTTTTTTATTTTTTGTGAACATACTGTACAGAGGGGTTACAATTACATGGGCAAGATAATGAGTACATTTCTTACCAAGCATTGCAGCCTCCTCCTTTGTTTACCCTTCACAATCCCTTCCCAGCCTCCCCCCCCCTCCCCGCACCAAAGTTGTAAAGTTCGTTTTCAACATGACAACTTGTACTTCTCAATGTTACAACGGGTCCACCTGTATCCTTAAACGACTTGTTTTTCCCCATCTCCTCCACAAATTATACCGACATCAAATATAGTGAAAGCAGGGGTTATACTGTGGGGGAGGGACATACAAAGCAACAAAGAAATAATCTTATAAATGCGTTAAAAAACAAATGCATGAAAGAAGAAAAAACCTTTCAATATATATCTAAGGGTTCATTTTCCTAACATCACATTATCTAACCTTTTCTGCTTGACTCATACATATACTAGATATTGCAAATAAGGGAAACCATGGGACCTGTGTTTCTTTGGGCTTGGCTTAATTCACTTAATATAATTTTTTCCAAGCCTTTCCATTTCCTAACAAATGGGGCAATGTCATTCTTTCTGATGGAGGCATAGAATTCCATTGTGTATATATACCACATTTTCTTGATCCATTCATCTACTGAGGGGCATCTGGGTTGGTTCCATATCTTAGCTATGGTAAATAATGCTGCAATAAGCATAGTTGTGCTGGTGAGAAGTTTTTTTAAACCTGAGAATGCTCCAGTGTTTAAATATCCCTATGAACGTTGAAATGTTACAATTCTTGCTTTTTGTGACTTTTGATTCTATATTCTGTCCTAACTGGTTACTAGTGTTTTGCATCATCTTTATCTTCACATATATGGTGACATCACAGAACTGTATTACTATAATGCTGATATGTATTATTCTGGGGTAAAAATTTTGTTCTGTTTTTTTCTTTGAATTTTTCAGTTCCAGGAGTAGATTTTAGCATAACTCAATTTGTGAGGAATCTTGGACTTGAGCACTTAATGGATATATTTGAGAGAGAACAGGTAAGTAGATTAATTGTATTGTTTAGTATGTTTAGTTTTGTTTACTTGACATCTGCAATCTGTGGAGGAGAGTTTTTGATGAGTCTTGTTTTAGGGGTCTTGGGATTGAACTTTTACTCTACCATGGAGCTATTCTCACTTCTTGAGAGTGTTTTTTTAATTAGTCGCTCTCCTGATTTGGCTTGATTTTGGAATTTCTGTTAAGTGTATAGTAATAAAACAACTTTTTTGAATGGCAGAATTATCTTAGTACTTAAAGTGAGTTATCATTGAACTATGTTCAGTTCTGTTCTGTCCGTTACTACCCATTCTAAACCTGACATTGCTAGCTAGCTCCTATGGAGAGGAATACGCCAGTCATACAATTGGGCTTTTCTTTTCTTTTGTTTTTGTCAGTTGTAGGGCCTGAACTCGGCCTGGGTGCTGTCCCTCAGCTCTTCAGCTCAAGGCTAGCACTCTACCACTTGAGCCACAGCTCCACTTCCAGCTTTTTTTGCTTATGTGGTGCTGAGGAATCGAAACCAGGGCCTCATGCATTCAAGGCAAGCACTCTACCACTGAGCCACCTCCCAGCCTTACAGTTGGGCTTTTCTATCTATTACCATCTTAAGCAGTTCTATCAGAATACATTGACATATTTTTGCTGCTGTTACTGTTTTTGTTTTGGTGGTGGTGGTGGTGGTGGTGCTGGTTATGGGGCTTGAATTCTAGGCCTAGGTGCTGTCCTTGAGCTCTTCAGCTCAAGGCAAGTGCTCTACCACTTGAACCACAGTGCCACTTCTGGTTTTCTGGTGGTTAATGAAAATAAGAGTCTTACAGACTTTCCTGCCCGGGCTGGCTTTGAACCATGATGCTCAGATCTCAGCCTCCTGAATAATTAGGATTACAGGCGTGAGCCACCAGCACCCAGCTGTTGTTAACTGTTTAGAAAATGTAACAACTGTATACTTGTACCTAAAGAGATTTTCAGTCTGGTTTATGAAGCTGGAACAAGACCATTCAAAGATGTTTGTCATAGAGTTTAGAAATTGGGGGGGGGAAGATTATTATGTACTGAACTATCAAGGGACAGCTTCATAGAAAGCTTATAAATTAAAAAAATGGGCATGATAGTGCAGATATGTGGTTCCAGCTACATGGGAGGCTGAGATCACTGTCAGAACCCCACCTGAAAACAGAAAAGAGCTGGAGGTGTGGCTCAAGTGGTAGAGTACCTGCCTAGCAAATACAGGGTCCTGAGTTCAAATTCTTTTACCACAAAAAAAAGAGAGTGGGAGAGAATGATTGAATTGCTTCCATTTTGTGAAGTGATATATTTTGGGTTTAAAAAAAAGTTAATTTGAATAGTATTGTGAAAGTATAAGTTAGCATGTTATTCAGACTTTGGAGGAGCAATAGAAAAATTATGTAACTAAGGTAAGCTATACAGTGATAGTAGAAAAGTTAGTGTAATAGATGAAATGTTGCCGGGCGCTGGTGGCTCACGCCTATAATCCTAGCTACTCAGGAGGCTGAGATCTGAGGATTGCGGTTCAAAGCCAGCCCGGGCAGGAGAGACCGTGAGATTCCTATCTCCAATAAACCACCAGAAAACCGGAAGTGGTGCTGTAGCTCAAGTGGTAGAGCGCTCGCCTTCAGCTGAAGAGCTGAGGGACAGCGCCCAGGCCCAGAGTTCAAGCCCCACGACCAACAAAAAAAAAAAAAAAAAAAATAGATGAAATGTTTCACCTGCCTGTGGTTAATATAAAAGAACATGTATGGCTTGATGTTGGTAGTTCATGCCTGTAATCCTAACTACTCAAGAGATGAGAGCTGAGGATTGCAGTTCAAAACTGTCCTGAGCCTGACTCAACTTCTATTTTACTCCCATATTTTTGTTGATTGGATGGTTGGTGCTGGTACTAGGCTTGAACTCCATACCTTGCACTCTCACCTTTTCTCTCATGGCTAGCACTCTTAACACTTGCATTATGCCTCCATATCCAGCTTTTTTCTGTTTACTTAGACAGAAGAGTCTCTCTTTCTCTGCCTGGGCTGGCTGTAAACTTTGATCCTCAGATCTTGGCTTCCTGAATAGCTAGGTTTATAGGTGTGAGCCACTGGTGCTCAGCTGCTACGCCAACTTATATTTTTTGCTAATTTCAGTTTAGCAAATGGTTTATTTTAATGTTAAAACTGTTCACACAAATATAAATTAAATATGTGAATGTCTTATGTTAAAAGAATACCCATATATGAATGTCTACCTAACATTAATAAGCATTTTAAATTGTTTTATTTTATAAGATCACTTTGGATGTGTTAGTTGAGATGGGACACAAGGAACTCAAAGAGATTGGAATCAATGCTTATGGACATAGACACAAACTAATTAAAGGAGTAGAAAGACTTATCTCTGGACAACAAGGTATTTCATTTTAATTTATGTTATCGGCTTAAGGCCATTGCTTAGTGTATTAATAACATGAAAATCTGTATGAGAAGATATGTTTAGTAAGGAAAGTAGTAACTAGGATTCAGGACACCTGTGATGAAGAATCTGCTAATAGTTATACATCTGAGCTACCAGTGTTAATGGTGTAAAGTGTCTACCCAATACAGAAATTTGAAGATTGCCTTAGTTACTGAAAATTGTGATGATTTCTGAAGCTACCCTAGCTCTCAATTTCTGTGATTCTAAAAGATCTGGAATTTAAGTATCTTTTTTGTTCTGACTTAATAACAGGTAGACATTAAAGGTATCACATAAAATAATGTAGTAAATCTCTTGTATAAAATACTAAGCTTGGAATGTGGGAAAAAATAATGTGGCAACCAAGGAAATTAAACAATACAAATCTGTATAATATTTTTATTTTTCAATAGTGTTCAGGGCTTAAGGAAAGCACACATTGTATTTACTCGAGAGATGTTAACGTTTCTTGTTGATCAGATCTAGGTATAAAATGTTTCAAGTGTTAAGCCATATTTTAACCTTATTGTTAAACTGAGAGAGTGGTTTACCCTGAAATATCCTATACTTGAAGTTCAGCTGGAATTAAAGAGAAACTTTTCTTAGCAAAGATGGAATTTTCAGGGAATGGTGTATGCTGGACAGGATGAGGACCACTTGTTAAAGCAAAAAAGTAGTACTACTAAAAATTTAGGTGATTCAAGCTAAGAAATGTTTAAAGGAATGTTTGTTCTGTTCCTCAGCTCTTCAGCTCAGGCAAGTGCTCTGCCACTTGAGCCACAAGTACCACTTCCAGTTTATTGGAGATAAGAGTTTCACAGACTTTCCTGCCCAGGCTGACTTTGAACTACGATCCTCAGATCTCAGCCTCCTGAGTAGCTAGGATTACAGGTGTAAACCACCAGCGCCCAGCTCTAAAGAAAGTTTTAAACTGGTGTTATTGAATACAGTTGATAAAGTAAATGGAACTAGATGCCAGTGACTGAGGCCTATAATCCTAACTACTCAGGAGGCTGAGATTTGAGGATCACGGTTTGAAGCCAGCCTAGACATAAAAGTCCTTATGAGACTCTTATCTCTGTTTAATCACTCAAAAACCAGAAATGGTGCTGTGGCTCAAGTGGTAGAGCACTAACCTTGAGCATAGAGAGGCTCAGGGGACAGCACCCAGACCCCAAGTTCAAGCCCTGCAACCCACCAAAAAAAAAAGTATATAGAATATAGCCAGGCACTGATTACAGCTCATGGCTGTAATCCTAATTACTTAGATGACTGAGATCTGAGAATTGCAGTTCAAACCCAGCCAAGCCCAGGCAAGAAAGTCCATGAGATTTTTAACTCATATTAACCACCAGAAAGCTAGATGTGGAGGTGTTGCACATGCAAGTGGTAGAGCACTAGCCTTGAGCAAAAAAGTTCAGGAATAGCACCCAGGCCCTAAGGTTAAGCCCCAGGACCAGCAAAAAAAAAAAAGTAAATGGACTTCACATGCCAAGTGTAGACTAGAATAAAATACTTAAAATATGAGAAATATTAGTTATCTAGTATAAAGCTAAATTTCATAAGATAAAAGAGGAAACCTGGCACTGATGTCTCACACCTATAATCCTAGGTACTCAGGAGGCCGAGATCTGAGGATTGGGGTTCAAAGCCAGCCAACTCTTACCTCTAACCACCAGGAAACTGGAAGTTGCATTGTAGCTCAAGTGGTAGAGTGTTAGCCTTGAGTTGAAGAGCTCAGGGACAGGATCCAGGCAAGAGGGAAAACTTATGATTTCTTGGATACTAGTTTATAATAGAGCTACCAAAAATAAGAAATAGAACCTTAGTTGTAGAATGTCATTGTAGCTATTAAAATACCTCATCTGGCCGGGCGCTGGTGGCTCACGCCTGTAATCCTAGCTACTCAGGAGGCTGAGATCTGAGGATCACGGTTCAAAGCCAGCCCAGGCAGGAGAGACCGTGAAACTCCTATCTCCAATAAACCACCAGAAAACCGGAAGTGGTGCTGTAGCTCAAGTGGTAGAGCGCTTGCCTTGAGCTGAAGAGCTGAGGGACAGCGCCCAGGCCCAGAGTTCAAGCCCCACAACCGACAAAAAAAATAAAAATAAAATACCTCATCTGGTATAATAGTGGTATTGGGTGAATACTGGGGTAACAGAAGTGTTTTAAGAAGGAGCTAAATTTTAAAAAAAGCAGTCAGTGTATGTATAAACTAAACAAAGCCAAGTTATGATTATATTGAAAGACTCAAGAAACAGTGACAGAAATACATATTTACCTCCAAATGGTAGAGGTGTACTCTCTCTGGTCCTGTAGTTACTCCTGATACATCTAGCTATACAATTGAGTAGAAGCATTTACTTCATGGAGGAAAAACACAATGTTGACACAATGGCTATATCTAACATAACACATCTGGGTCACTTTCCTGCATGAAGTTACTAATTTGCTGGATTTCATTTGAAGCCAGGATTACTCATCAGAAAACCAAAAGTGGGTGCTGGGAAAGTGGCTCAGTGGTAGAGCGCTTGCCTTGCATGCATGAGGCCCTGGGTTCGATTCCCCAGCACCATATAAGCAAAAAGAAAAAAAGCCAGAAGTGGCGCTGTGGCTCAAGTGGTAGAGCGCTAACCTTGAGCTGAAGAGCTGAGGGACAGCACCCAGGCTCCACGACCGGACCCAAAAACAAAAAACAACAACAACAAAAAAAAAAAAGAAAACCCAAAATGGAGCCTGTGGCTCAAAGGGGTAGAGCACTAACCTTGACCAAAAGAGCTCAGGGACAGCACCCAGGCTCTGAGGGACAAAAAAATAATCATGAGTGGAAACAGTATTCTAGTTTGAAAAGATGAGAAGGTTCTGGAAATAGATGGTGGAAATGGCCACAAAACAGTGTGAATTACTTATTGAACTGAACACTTAAAAAATGGTTCACATGGGGCTGAGAAGGTGGCTCAGTGGTAGAGCTCTTGCCTTGCATGCCTGAGGCCCTGGGTTCGATTCCTCAGCACCACATAAGCAAAAAGAAAAAATGGTTCACATGGTAAATTTTATGTTACATATATCTTACCACATTAAAAAAAATAAGAAATACAGAAGAAAATAATTTTGCAAAATATTTCAACAAAACTCTTAGAATTTATGAAGTTATAAATTAGTGATCTAAATGCATTGTGATAATCCTACTTTTGATCCTGGGAGTGCTAGTAGGAAAACCTACTGAGATCCAAATTAAGCCTATATTAATAATTTTTGAAACTCGTACTGTACTCATACAATGTATATAGCCAGAGGGAAGTTGGGTGAAGGATATACAGGAACCCTTTCTATAAATGTAAACTGTTCTAAAATTAAAAGTTTTTAAATTGGGCTGGGAAGGTGGCTCAGTGGTAGAGTGCTTGCCTTGCATGTGTGAGGCCCTGGGTTCAATTCGTCAGCACCACATAAGCAGAAAAGGCCAGAAGTGGTGCTATAGCTCAAGTGGTAGAGTGCTAGCGTTGAGCTAAAGAGCTGAGGGACAGTGCCCAGGCCCAGAGTTCAGGCCCCACGACTGGCAAAAAAGACAAAAAAACAAAACAATCAAAGTAACTTTTTTTTATTTTTTGGTCGGTCATGGGGCCTGAACTGTGGGCCTGGGCACTGTCCCTCAGCTCTTCAGCTCAAGACTAGCACTCCAACTTCAACTACAGCACCACTTCCAGCTTTTTCTGCTTATGTGGTGCTGAGGAATCAATCCCAGAGCCTCATGCATGCAAGGCACTCTACCACTGAGCCACCTTCCCAGCCCTGCTGGTTTATAGGCACTTTTTTTAACCTTTAAATTTTAATTGCCCTGCTGGTTTATAGGCACTTTTTTTAACCTTTAAATTTTAATTTTGTTTCGTAGGTCTTAACCCATATTTAACTCTGAACAACTCTGGTAGTGGAACAATTCTCATAGATCTGTCTCCTGATGATAAAGAGTTTCAGTCTGTGGAAGAAGAGGTATGTTCATATTCCTTAAATAATGGAAAAGATAGGTCAGTCATACAGACACAGTGTTCCATTGGAGAAGCAGGTACAAAGCCTAGAATCTCAGACAAGAGCCAGAAATATGTAGGTATTATTTGCCCAGGATATTTGTATTTTAGCATTGTTTACAAATAACTCTTGGGTCTGCTGAAAGTTTTGAATAATGTCCTTCTTATACATTGAAGCATAGGTGCCATGTGAATTGAACATAGAAATAGAAGATTTATTAAAACCTTTTTTTTTTTTTTTGCCATCCTGGGCTTGAATTCAGGGCTGGAGCACTATTCCTGACCTTCCTTTGCTCAAGGTTAACACTCTACCACTTGAGCCACAGTGCCACTTCTATTTCTGTTTAATGTGGTACTGAGAAATTGAACCCAGGGTTTCATGCATGCTAGGCAAGCACTATGCCACCAAGCCACATTCCCACCCCCACTAAGGCTTTTTTAAAACTCAAGAAAGGCCAGTTCTTAATGAAATAGCTATTGTGCTTTGTCTAAAATCAGTAGGACCAAAGAAATCAATGTTTTACTTTTTAGTATGATAGGTGACTAGCATTTAGCTTTATATTTAATCATCTCCTATTCTTGTTTCTTTTTCTTCCTGTAATTTACATTATATAATGTTTTAAATGATTGACTAATAGCTACCTCTAGAAAGCAGTACTCATGAATTTATAATACCTATATCCTTTAAACAACAAAAAGTTAAAGACTTAAATTCTCAAAAATAGAATTAGATGAATCAGAAATTTGTATTCCCCAAGTCATACATAAAAGTTAATTCACACATTTTAAATTATTTTCCCATCAGATGCAGAGTACAGTCCGTGAGCACAGAGATGGTGGACATGCAGGTGGCATCTTCAGTAGATACAATATTCTCAAGGTAAAATTCATAAAAGTAAAAATAAAGTCTCATGGACTTTTCTGACCAGTCTGGCTTCAAACTATGATCTTGAATAACTAGGATTACTAGCCTGAGCCACTGACTCCCAGCTAAAGCATGATTTGTGTATGTGTGCACATAAGCTGGTCTTGGGACTTTAACTCAGGGCCTGGGCACTGTCCCAAAGCATTTTTGTTCATAGCTAACACTCTACCTCTTCTGGCTTTTTTGGTCATTCATTGGAGATAAGACGACTTTGCTGCCCAGGCTAGATTCAAACCACAATCTTCAGATCTAACCTCCTGAGTAGCTAGGATTAAAGGCGTAAGCCAGATATCAAGCTTATGTAGGTCCTTATTTTTTTGAGGTATTTGATTCCAAAAAGGCATTTATACATCTAACTTTATAGGATAATTATAAAAGGTATTTTTAATAAGCAATTATCTTCAGTTGACTAAAAACTACATATATTTCGAAAAAATTTCACCTCATTCCTTGCCAAGTGTGAGGCCAATCTTTTGGTTAAGATGAAATAGATCATTATAAACACCTAAAGATTTGATTTTTCTGGTGTTACAGATTCAGAAGGTTTGTAACAAGAAACTATGGGAAAGGTATACTCACCGGAGAAAAGAAGTTTCTGAAGAAAACCACAACCATGCAAATGAACGAATGCTATTTCATGGTAAGATTCCTTCTCCCCCAACTCTACTACTATTCTCCATATTAAGATAGCTTTTGGCAGATATTAAATAATAATATTTTCTTTATATCATTTTAAAATAATCTAATATTTCTGTAACTTTTATGCTCCTGTTGTCAGTTTCTTTTACAGTGGATAATTTATAAATGGATACTTCATAAATAAGATTATTATAATGGAAAAAGTAGAAATGATAATGTGGACTTTTTGGTTTGATTTTCTGTATCTCAGAAAAATGTATGCCTTCTGCTTTGATTTTTAAAATTTCAGTGTCAAAATCACATTTAACTTCAGTGTTAAAGAGCCATTTTGCCAGGTGCTGGTGGCTCACACCTGTAATCTTAGCCACTCAGCAGCCTAAGATCTGAGGATCATGGTTCCATGCTACCATGCTAGTCCAGGCAGGAAAGGCCATGAATCTCCAATTAACCACTAGAAAACCAGAAGTTGAGCTAGCTGTATGACTCAAAGTGGTAGAGCACTAGCCTTAAGCAAAAGAGCTTAGGGAGCGTGCCCCAGCCCTGAGTTCAAACCCTATGACTAACAACATCAAAAACAAAAAGTCATTGCCATTAGATCTATAGAGGTCACTGATGATTATTGAATTTATAGCATCACTGTTGTATTTAAATTTTCTTTGATTAAAATTTCACAAACTGTCAAGTATTGGTTGGTTTTCAACTTTATAGGTATTGATGTATTGTTTTTCAAGCCTTTGAGCTTGTTATTAATAGTAGCTTCAGTCTGTTCCTTTCTTTGTCCTTGAAGCTGGGCACTGATGTCTCATACTTGTAATCCTAGCTACTGAGATCAGAAGATCATAGTTCAGAGCCAGCTCAAGAAGGAAAGTGAATGAGAAGCATCTCCAGTTAATCACTCAAAAGCCAGAAGTGAAACTGTGGCGCAAGTGGTAGAGCGCTAGACTTGAGCACAAAAGCTCAGGGATCACCCTCACCTCCATCCAAAAAAAAAAAACAAAATCAAAAAAAGCACCAAAATCTTGGTTCTTGACTGCAGAAAGTTTTTGGAGACCTAATTTGATTTTTAAAAAACACATTAGGGGCTGGGAAGGTGGCTCAGTGGTAGAGCGCTTGCCTTGCATGCCTGAGGCCCTGGGTTTGATTCCTCAGCACCACATAAGCAAAAAGAAAAAAGCCGGAAGTGGCACTGGGGCTCAAGTGGTAGAGCGCTAGCCTTGAGCCGAAGAGCTGAGGGACAGCGCCCAGGCCCAGAGTTCAGGCCCCACGACCGGACCAAAAATAAATAAATAAAAATAAAAAAGCACGTTAAATTTCATATTCCTAGATTGCAGATGTAGCCCATTGATAGAGCACTTGCCTAATAAATACAAGACCTTGTAGAAGTAGAAAGAATTTCACAGTCCCCTGAAGGAATAGCTAGAATGGGTTTCTGTGAGATAATATGAATACCACTACTTATGCTACAACCCTACAAAAGTTATTATCATAATCCCTTGGCAAAGAATATATGGTTTTTATTTATTAACTTGAAAGTTTTAATGAGGTTTTTTTCTAGAAATGGTTTTGTTTTTTCCAAGTTCATTCTTTTTTGTTGTTGTTAAGATGTACAGAGGGGTTACAATGAGTACATTACTTATCGATCATTGTTACCCCTCCCCTTCCTTGTTGTTGTCCCACTATCCCTTCCCTCCCCCAACGTGTTTCTATTTCTATAAAAGGGAATTCGGGAAATTTTCCTGTCCCTTGATGACCAAGGACAGGGTTTTGATGAATTACTTAGCTGTGATTGTCTTTTTCCAGCCCTTAGCACACAACACCTACCTGATGTGGTTCTTGTGCTCTGTAGCTCTTCTTTGGCTGGGCCTGTCTTGTCACTACTATACATGAAGCCCTAGATTGGATCCCCAATATGCCACAGGAAAAAGAAATGAACTTCTAAGAGACTTTAGTTTTGCCTTCCAAAAATATATTATTTAACTTGCTTTTACCAATCTATATGTATTTCAGGTTCTCCTTTTGTGAACGCAATTATCCATAAGGGCTTTGATGAAAGGCATGCGTACATAGGTGGCATGTTTGGAGCTGGGATTTATTTTGCTGAAAACTCCTCCAAAAGCAATCAGTATGTGTATGGAATTGGAGGAGGTACTGGATGTCCAGTTCACAAAGACAGATCGTGTTATATTTGCCACAGGTAAGAGATCACTTCTCATTTATTTTGGTAAGAATTGGTTATTTAAGAAATTTAAAGGGCAAAGCCTTATGCCTGACTTTAAGAATCAAAACTGAACATGTGTTTAGGCTTTTTGCCCTCTCACAAGTTAAAATAATAGTTAATATTTACTTTAGTTATCTCAGTGGGGCAGCTTAATTCTAAGCAGTTGACCTTTTAACTCATTATAACACCTAGAGCTTTAAAGAAAAAAGTGCTCAATGGCTCACTTGGCACTGTAGTGGTTCATGTCTTTAATTCTAGCTACTCAGCAGGTTGAAATCTATAGATTATGATTACACTTTGAAGCCAACCTGTGCAGAAAAGTTCATGAGACTCCATTTCCAAAGTAGCCAACAGAAAGCTGGCTGGAGTGTGACTCAAAGGATAGAGCACCTGCCAACTAAGCAAGACGAGCAGGTATGAGGCTCTGAGTTCAAATCTCAGTTCTGGTGGAGGAGGAAGTAGGCAAAATAAAATGCAAGTATGATAAAGTAGATAAACCCAAGTTTAAGATCACCCTGGGCAACCTAGCAAGAGTGTTTTTTTGCTTTTTCTTTCTTTCTTTCTTTTTAACCAGGCCTGAGGCTTGAATTCAGAGCCTGGACACTGTCCCTGAGCTGCTTTTGTTCAAAGCTGGCACTCTACCACTTGAGCCACAGCACTGCTTCGGGCTTTTTCTGTTTATGTGTTACTGAGGGATCAAACACAGGGTTTTATGCATACTGAGCAAGCATTCTACCACTAAGCCATATTATTCCTAGCCCAAGAGCCTGTTGTTTTTTATTTGGGGGGGGGGTTGTTTTGTTTTTTGTTTGTCATGGGGCTTAACTCTGGGCCTGGGCATTGTCCCTCTGTTCTTCAGCTCAAGGCACACACACTACCAACTTGAGCCACAGTGCCACTTCTGGTTTTCCCGGTAGTTAATTGGAGATAAGAGTCTCAGGGACTTTCCTGCCCTGGCTGGCTTTGAATGGTGATTCTCAGGTTTCAGCCTCCTGAGTAGTTAGGATTATGTGTGTGAGCCACTGGCTTCTGGCTCAGATTTTTCATCTTAAAAAACAGGCTCTTAGGGGCTGGGAAGGTGGCTCAGTGGTAGAGTGCTTGCCTTGCATGCATGAAGCCCTGGGTTAAATTCCTCAGCACCACATAATTAGAAAAGGCCAGAAGTGGCACTGTGGCTCAAGTGGTAGAGCACTAGCCTTGAGCTGAAGAGCTGAGGGACAGTGCCTAGGCCCAGAGTTCAGACCCCTGGACCTACAAAAACAAAAACAACAGACTCTTAGCCAAGGGCCAGTGGCTCACGCCTGTAATCCTAGCTACTCAGGAGGCTGAGATCTGAGAATTGAAGTTAAAAGCCAGCCTGAGGGGGAAAGTCCAAGAGATTCTTATCTCCAGTTAACAACTAGAAAACCAGAAGTAACGCTGTAGAACACTGGCTTGGAGCTGAAGAGCGTAGGGACAGCACCCAAGCCCAGAGTTCAAGCCCCATGACCATCAAAAAAGAAATACCTGGGCTGGGAAGGTGGCTCAGTGGTAAAGTGCTTGCCTTGCATGCATGAGGTCCTGGTTCGATTTCCCCAGCACCACATAAGCCAAAAAGAAAAAAGCCGGAAGTGGCGCTGTGGCTCAAGTGGTAGAGCGCTAGCCTTGAGCTGAAGTGCTGAGGGACAGTGCCCAGGCTCAGAGTTCAGGCCCCATGACCAGACCCAAAAAAGAAAAAAGAAAAACCTGAATACAAAATAACATTGGGGTGAAAGACTATATGTACAGTAGGCTTAGAAATAAACAGTGAAGGGCTGGGAAGGTGGCTCAGTGGTAGAGCGCTTGCCTTGCATGCATGAGGCCCTGGGTTCGATTCCTCAGCACCACATAAGCAAAAAGAAAAAAGCTGGAAGTGGCGCTGTGGCTCAAGTGGTAGAGCGCTAGCCTTGAGCTGAAGAGCTGAGGGACAGCGCCCAGGCCCAGAGTTCAGGCCCCATGACTGGACCCAAAAAAAAAAAAGAAAGAAAGAAAGAAACAGTGAAATAATATTGAAACGTTCTTTGAAACAGGAAAGTCAATCACATGCTTGAAGAGAGTGGGATAATATCTACTTATACTCATGGTAAGGGGACCCCTGAGTTAAGAAATGAGTAGGTGTTCCAGTGGAGGAGCAGTAAAATAGCCACCGTCTCAGATGGTACAGAGAATGGATAACAGACAGGAAGGAAGATTGGCCTTTGTGGACAGAGAAAATGAATATGCCTAGGGCATGATAAAGATAAGATAAAATTAGAGGAAAGAGCTACTGTAAGGAATTGGGATTTCCTTCTAAGTACAGTAAGTAGCAGCTAAAAGATTTTAAAAGATGGGGCTGGGAAGGTAGCTCAGCGGTAGAGTTGCATGCCTTGCAAGCATGAGGCTCTGGGTTCCATTCCTCAGCACCACATAAACAGAAAAAGCCGGAAGTGGCACTGTGGCTCCAGTGGTAGAGCACTAGCCTTGAGCTGAAGAGCTGAGGGACAGTGCCCAGGCCCAGAGTTCAAGCCTCCTGGAGGGCAAAAAAAAAAAAAAAAGATTTTAAAGACAAAAGTGAAAGAAAAAAAAAGACAAGTGATTTTGGTTTTGTTTTGTCTTTTTTTGTTGTTGTTATTCCAGCACAAGGGTTTGAACCTGGGACCTGGGCACTCTTCTTTTTTTTTTTTTTTTAAATTGTGAAAATACTACAGAGGGGTTACAATTACATGGGCAAGATAATGAGTACATTTCTTCTTATCAAGCATTGTAGCCTCCTCCTTTGTTTCCCCTTCCCATCCCTTTCCATCCTCCTCCTGCCCCCCCACCCACTGGGAACTCTTCTTGAGCTTCTTTTTTTTTGGAGGGGGGGGGTCCAGTCACGGGGCCTGAACTCTGGGCCTGGCACTGTCCCTCAGCTCTTCAGCTCAAGGCTAGCGCTCTACCACTTGAGCCACAGCACCACTTAACGGCTTTTTTCTTTTTGCCTATGTGGTGCTAAGGAATTGAACCCAGGGCCTCATGCATGCAAGGCAAACGCTCTACCACTGAGCCACCTTCCCAGCCCTCTTCTTGAGCTTATTTTTTTAATTTTTTTTTTTTTTTTTTTGTGAAAATACTGCACAGATGGGTTACAATTGCATGGGCAAGATAATGAGTACATTTCTTATCAAGCATTGTAGCCTCCTCCTTTGTTCTTGAGCTTCTTAAGGCTAGCACTCTACCACTTGAGCCACAAGTCCACTAATGTATTTTTTCCGGTTAATTGAAGAGTCTTAGGACTTTGATGCTTTGAACTGCAATCCTCAGATCTCAGCCTCCTGAGTAGCTAGGATTATAACTGTCAGCCACCAGTACTTGGCAGTAGTTGTTTTCATCAGTAATTGCTTAGACAGAAAGGAGTTTGGGCAGGAAATTAGAGTAGAAGTAGAAAAACTGGGTTAGTAGGCTATAGTCCAGGTGGAAATTTTGATGGTTTGGACATGATGACAAAATTAGAAGTAAATGAATTTTAAATGTATCTTGAAAGTGGAATCAGTGACCTTTTTGAATAAATGATTCTTTTGCAAGCTACCATAGAAGTTCCTTAAACTCCTTCCTCCCCACTTGGTCTGTGATTTGTGTTTTTCCTCTGACACAAAGAAGATAATAACAGTTTAAATCTATAAAGTTGTTAACATTTTTCCAGTTTTAAAGTTAAAATATAAGAATTAACTAGCTGGATATAGTGATTCGCTTTACTATAATCACACCTAGTGGGAGGCTGAACCAGAAGTATCATGACTTAAAGACTAGCCTGAGCAAATCAGTGAGACCCTGTCACAAAAATAAATTAAAAAACCTTGGAATACAGTCCAGTGATACAATATTTGCCTAACATATCCAGTTCCCAATACTGAAAAAAAAATAATAATTTAACAAATTATTTTAAAAGAATGAGGGCTGGGAAGGTGGCTTAGTGGTAGAGCGCTTGCCTTGCATGCATGAGGCCCTGGATTCGATTCCTCAGTACCACATAAGCAAAAAGAAAAAAGCCGGAAGTGGTGCTGTGGCTCAAGCAGTAGAGCGCTAGCCTTGAGCTGAAGAGCTGAGGGACAGCGCCCAGGCCCAGAGTTCAGGCCCCACAACCGGACCCAAAAAAAAAAAAGAATGATAGACTTTTTTTTTTTTTTTTTTTTGAGTACTGGGATTTGAACTCAGGGCTAGGCGGGTGCTCTACCACTTGAGCAATGCCAACCTGCCTTATGGTTGTTTTCAAGATAGAGTGTCACAGCCGGGCTCCAGTGGTTCTCACTTGTAATCCTAGCTACTCAGGAGGCTGAGATCTGAGGAGTGCAGTTCAGAGCCAGCCCTGGCAGGAAAGTTCATGAGACTCATCTACCATTTAGCCACCAGAAAACTGGAAGTGGAACTGTGCCTCAAGTGGTAGAGTGCTTGCCTTGAGCTGAAGAGCTGAGGGACAGACAGCACCCAGGCCGAGTTCAAGCCCCATAACCAAAAAAAAAAGGTGTCACCAACTTTTCTGCCTAGCCTAACTTCAAACTGTAATTCTCCAGATCTCAACCTTTTGGTTACAATTGTACCCATGAGGCCCCACAGCCCAGCACAAAGTTCTTTGAGGGTTAAATATTAAAAACAATCATAAATGTTTTCATATGAAGACATTTCTAAAGTTTACCTAATGTACGCAAATAATGGTTGTAAAACTTGTGTTAAATTTGTCTTCAGAGTGCCCTTTTCCATTTTATGTTTTAGACAACTGCTCTTTTGCCGGGTAACCTTGGGAAAGTCTTTCCTGCAGTTTAGTGCAATGAAAATGGCACATTCACCTCCCGGGCATCACTCTGTCACCGGTCGGCCCAGTGTTAATGGCCTAGCATTAGCTGAATATGTTATTTACAGAGGCGAACAGGTAACTCAGTTTTGTTTACCTTTAAAAATGCTATGGGGGGGCTGGGAAGATGGTTCAGTGGTAGAATGCTTGCCTTGCATGCATGAGGCCCTAAGTTCTATTCCTCAGCACCACATAAGCAGAAAAAGCCAGAAGTGGGGCTGAGGCTCAAGTGGTAGAGTGCTAGTCTACAGCTGAAGAGCTGAGGGACAGCACCCAGGCCCAGAGTTCAGGCCCCACGACCGACAAAAAAAAAAAAAAGCTATAGGGGTCAGTGTGTTGGCATGTCTATATACCAAGCTCTAGGAATACGTAGGAGAACTGAGACTAAACCTGAAAAGAGCTGGAGGTATGGCTCAAGTAGTAAAAGATCTGCCTAGAAAGAGCCAGGTCTAGCCAGGGGCCGGTTACTCACACCCCTGTTATCCTAGCTACTCAGGAGGCTGAGATCTGAGGATCAAAATTCAAAGTCAGCCCAGGCAGGAAACTCTTTGAAACTCTTATCTCCAGTTAACCACCAGAAAACCAGAAGTGGCACTTGTGGCTCAGGTAGAGTACTCGCCTTGAGCTGAAGAGCTGAGGAACAGTGCCCAGGCCCAGAGTTCAAGCCCTACAACCTACAGGAAAAAAGAAAAGAAAGAGCCAGGTTGTGAGTTCATACTCCATACTAACCACCCTTCACCCCCCCCATAGAACCATACTTTAGTTTCTTAAATGAATAAGGCAAGACCTTGGTTTAAACAAAAACAAAAATTTATATGCAGTTTCAGACTTGTAAAGATACCAATGTAGTAAAATAAGAATACTTAAATTTTTTCAAGATAAGGAAATATACTGATATTTAAATTTGGCCAACTACACTGCATTTTTCTTTTGCTTCTATAAAATGTAATTAATCAGAATTCTGATTTTTAAAAGTATGTTCGAAGAAGCATATGATCCTCTCATACTATCAGTAAAATGTTGGGCTAGAATAGTATTCTGAATTTACTAGGTATCATAATTACCTCTATTACTAAAAACAGATAGACATTTCCTTAATACCCATCATAGACCTACTTGCTGGTTGTTAGTCTAAAGGATTGAAGTTGAGGGTTGGATAGGTGGCTCAGTGGTAGAGTGCTTGCCTTGCATGCATGAGGCCCTGGGTTCGATTCCTCAGCACCACATAAGCAAAAAAGAAAAAAGCTGGAAGTGGCACTGTGGCTCAAGTGGTAGAACGCTAGCCTTGAGCAGAAGAGCTGAGGGACAGCGCCCAGGCCCAGAGTTCAGGCCCCACGACCGGACCAAAAAAAAAAAAAAGGATTGGAGTTAAGATAACTGTGTTTTGGGAAGATATCCCTAAATGATTCTGGGGTGTTTTTGTTCTGTGCCAGTCCTGGGGCTTGAACTCAAGGCCTAGGCACTGTCTTAAGCTTTTTTGCTCATGGCTAGCTCTCTACCACTTGAGCCACTGCTCCACTTCTGGCTTTTTTGTTGTTAATCAAACACATGGACTTTCCTGGCTGAGCTGGCTTCCAACCTCTATTTTAAGATTGCATTTTCCTTCATAGCTAGGATTGAAGGTGTGAGCCACTAGCATCCACCTTTTTTATTATTGCTCTTATTTTTAAGTAGAGGTTATAATTTCATAAGTCAGGTTATGAGTACAATGTATCTTGATCAATATCACCCCTTCTGTCATTCTCCCCCATTGTTTTCCCTCCCATCCCTACCCTCAAGTTATATTTTTAAGACTAATTTAGAACAGCCTGCCTAAAAATTTGAATGCTTATGAAAGATCTTCTTAACCTTGGAACAAAATTTGTTTACTACCATTTGAATTAATCTTTCTCTTCCAGGCTTACCCTGAATATTTAATTACTTACCAGATTATGAGGCCTGAAGGTATGGTTGATGGATAAACAGTTTTAGGAAACTCATTCCACTGAACCTAAAATCTCCAAAGCAGCTGGTGGCCTAAGTTTTATTTCTTTGCTGGTCATACTCATCTTGCACATGGCTCGTAACAAAAGGATAAAAATGTGAAAGAAGTTTAACAATTCTGACTTGATTAAGCTTTAATAATGTACAGTGTTTTCTAAATATTTCCTGTTTTTCAGCACTTTAACAGATGCCATTCCAGGTTTAACTGGGTTTGTCTGTACTAAATTATAAACAGTTCCTTGAACCTTTTATACATTATGCATTGATTCTAACAGAAACTGTAATGCCCTCAACAGAACTCATTTTACTAATACAATACTGTGTTCTTTTAACACAGCATTTACACTGAATACAATTTCATTTGTAAAACTGTAAATAAGAGCTTTTTTACTAGCCCAATATTTATTTACATTGCTTTGTAATATAAGTGTACTGTTTTAGAACTGCAGCGGTTTACAAACATTTTCATGTGTATTGCTCATCTATATTCCATCATGTATCATCCTTAGATCATCATCCACAATTGAGTGATCTTTATGTCTGATTCAAGAGGCTGTATTGAGTTGTTAGCTGAAATTTAGTTGGGAAAGACTATTTTATCAGATTTAATTTGTTGGAAGCATCTCATTTAGAAACGTTTCTCACCTGGTGCCAGTGGCTCATGCCTGTAATCCTTGCTGTTCAGGAGGCTGAGATCTGAGCAGCTCCAAAGCCAGCCAGGGCAAGAAAGTCCATGAGACTCTTATCTCTAATTAACCACCAGGAAAACAGAAGTGGCTAGCCTTGAGTAAAAAAGCTCAGGGACAGCAACATACGCCCTGAGTTTAATCCCCATGACTGAATTAAAAAAATATCTTTCTCACTTGAATTCTCTGGGGGTTTAATTTGTCCTTCCGTTGTATATAAAATATTCACATTCCAAAGAACTTGAACTCTGATAGGCCCTGATTCTAAAGAATCTTATTCACTGACCTCAAACTCTGTAAGTGTCACTCTGGAAATTTTTCATTGTCATATTATGAAAACTAAAGTGCTCCTTTTGTTTTTTGGGTTTGGTTTGGGTTGGGTGGGGGGTTTTTTTGGGTTTGGGGTTTTTTGGGTTTTTTTTGTCGGTCACTGGGCTTGAACTCTGGGTTTGGGCACTGTACCTGCACTCTTCAGCTCAAGGCAAGCACTCTACCGCTTGAGCCACAGCGCCACTTCCGGTTTTCTAGTGGTTTATTGGAGATAAGAGTCTCACGGACTTTCCTGCCCTGGATGGCTTTGAACTGCGATCCTCAGATCTCAGCCTCCTGAGTAGCTAGGGTTACAGGCATGAGCCACTGGCGCCCAGCTGGTTTGTTTTTTTTTTTAAAGGCCAAATCCATAATAATAATAAAAAACCAGGGCCTGGTGGCTCATACCTTTAATCCTGGTTACTCAGGAGGCTGATCTGAGGATTACAGTTCAAAGCCAGCCCAGGCAGGAAAGTCTGTGAAAACTGGAAGTGGCACTGTGGCTCAAGAGGTAGAGCTGTAGCCTTGAGCAGAAGAGCCCAGGGACAGTGCCCAGGCCCAGAGTTCAAGCCCCATGACCGATCAAAAAAAAAAAAAAACAAAGGCCAAATCCTCTTTTGAATGCTTAACAGTGTTTTCATGGAATATAAATAGGAAATTAAATTTTAGGATTGGAAAGTGTAATCCCGGATAATCTCCCAGTCAATTCTAATTACCTTAAATCTAAAAGGAGGGAAAATAGCAAAAAGCAAGTGGGTAGTATTTTATCCTAAGTATTTTTTTTCCTTGATCTTAGTTTTATTTATAGCCAGTCTGTACATGATGAGCAAACTCAATCCAGAACCATAAATAAAGGTTTCTCACCTCACTCCTGTTTTCACCTCCTGAATGGGCAAGTGTAATAAGACAGGTGACTCCTGATCCTGGTTTGCCTCCTGTGATATTCTGTCCAGTTGGAAATATGACTCAGTTTATGAACACAACCCTTGGCAGGAGCATAACAGTTGTGGTGACCAGGCCTGTGTTCAGTATGGTAGCTGTGCAGGGAATTGCTGTCCTGTGAAATGCCATTTCTGACTCTTTAATGTAAAACTATCTTTTCTATGAAAAGATAGTACTCATGAATTTTGAAACAGATCTGAATTATTGCCTGGCAGGGTCTATTTTACCTGTTGACTTATACCCTCAGAAACCAAGAAAACATTTTACCCACTTATGTCTTCGTAATTGAGGACCTTTCCCCTCGCTCCGAACCAGTTTGCCTTTATTTTAACCACTAAATTAACTTGCCCTTTTTAAATTTGTACATACAGTGCTAGAACATCATGGTTTTTTGTCCTGAATAAGAGTTAATCAAAGTAAATGTATTTCTGGAGTTGTTTCTATGATGTAAATTGTGATCATTGTTTAAGAGGTTAAATCCTGACCTTGAAGTGATTTTATACAACTGTCTATTAATTGCATATATGATCTTGAAGTCATTTCTTGGAACACGGGAGTATGCCAAATTTTATATAATTTTTTCAGGTTCTCAGCTTCTAGTTTCTATAATTAGAAGATAATGATATGAATTAATGGGGTTTATATTTACCTTCTCTCAACATTTAACCCATACTACTCACCCTATGAGTGAATCTGGAATTGTTTGTTATGTAAAATCATTGTGGTCTAGTTGACAATATTGCAAACTGTGTTACTTCATTCTAATCCATTGTTTAATGATTATATTGTTTTTCCATGAATTATATGGTGATCAACATGTTAGCATGGCAATATTTTCACATAGTTTTTTGTTGATTGAGAGTATGGGTTTTGGGTGGAATTTTTAGTGCTTTGCATGGAACATCTTACTTTATAATGATGGAATTGCTTTTTTTGTCTTGTGATTTTTTTTTATATGAATTTAATTTTTTGCGTGACTAGTGCTATTATACCCATCTTGAGTGTCTTAGTTGTACTGTTATCACATTCCATACCCTCATTTAATTCTAAATAAACTTCATTATTTTTCTGGATAGCATGATAATTACTGGAATAGTATAAATGTGTTGAATGGTCTTTGAGAAATGGATGAAAATTTGTTAATAAAACAGTTACAGGAAGACAATATAGTTTTGAGTCTAATAGTGATAAAGAGTACAATTTAAAGTTTGTTGATTGCTGTGGGTACATTTACATATTATAACATGGAAGTGTCTGTAAAATGTGGTTAGATAATTATAGCACCCAACAAAATGTTTGGTCAAACCTTAAAACTCATTCCTGGAAATCAATCTCTTCTTATAAAGAGGAATATATTTTTGTTTTCTATGTCATATAAAACATTCTCAGTAAGTTTCCAGATCTCAAAGTTAATGATAGTTCTTGTTGTTCTCCTTAAAAGAAAGTATTTATAATTCAGTATGCTAAGTGTCCTTGTGTGTGTGTGATCAGTTCTCTGCTTTCTATAAGAGAATGATGGTACAAATAATCCATAAGTTTAACTTTGAAATATATTTCAGCAGCTTTATCTTCCTGCTTCATTTAAGATATTATTAAAAAGTGTTTGCTTGCTATTGCTAAGCATGAATGGCAATGTATGATGTGATCCAATCGTCTACAGGTTAATGAGGCAAGAAAAAATGCAAATAAATTTCCCAAAGCTCTTAAAATTGTTATTCTTTACTGTGCCTTTACCCACTGTCCTGTCCAATTAGAGACTAGAGTGACAGATGAAACAAATAGTGGTATCCCTTCCTTTTTTTAATTACTTTTTAATAATTTTTATTGAAATTAAGTGATTACAGAAATTTCACAAGTTTCACAATATTGTGGGATAGTGATACAAGTCAAACACATTTTAACCTTCACAAGGCAAATTGTCATTATCATGGCCTATAAAGTTTGTGAATTCTATGAGCTTTGATAATACAACTATTTCTTCCATATCAGGTGATATGTACATTTCTTTCCTTTCACTTGGTGTCAGCAGTTCCCGCTCTTTCCCTCTCATTCCCTCCCTCCCATCGCTGCCTTTGAGTTACTTAGTTTGTTTTCATCAATGTCCAGAAGGTACCCTTTCTTAACCAGGGAAACAATTAAATTTCTATAAAGCTAGGGTCCAGTCACCATATACTTGCCTTTATGCTTACTTGCTTAGAAAACCTGTGACCTAAAACAGTTTAGTCACACCATCAGGAAGTTGTTGCTCTTCATATAAAAGGTACCCTTTTGCTGGGCACTGGTGGCTCATGTCTATAATCCTAGCTATTCAGGAGACTGAGCTTGAGAGCTCACAATTAGAAGCTAGCCCAGGCAGGAAAGGCTGTGAGACTCTTAATATTAATTAACCCTCTGCAATCTGGAAGCAGAACTTTGGCTCAGAGTGGTATATCACCTTGAGCAAAAAGCTCAGGAACAGTGCTTCCATCCCTGACTTCAAGCCCCCATATATGCATCTATAATTTGTTGCTAGGCACAGTAGCACACTCCAAAAACTCCAGCAATTTGAGAGGTTGAACGATATCATTTGAAGTCAGCTTGGGAAAACAGTGAATGCATCTTAGGAGGGCAGGAATCCCAAGTCTGTTGATAGTCCCTCTATATTAATTTTTTAATTAGTAGCATACTTCACACATTTGTGAGCCTTGTTCTTTTTCCCAAATCAATAACCCATATAATTTTCTAAATTTTAGCTTCTATATGACAGAGAACATGGAATATTTGGTTTAGTTTGGTTTGGGTTTTTTGTCTGTAGTAGGCTTGAACTCAGGGCCTGGGTGCTGGCTCAGCTTTTTTTGCTCAAAGCTAGCACTCTACCACTTTGAGCCACAGCTCACTTCTGGTTTTCTGGTGGTTAATTTGAGATAAGAGTCTCACAGACTTCCCTGCCCTGACTGTCTTTGAACCACAATCCTTAGATCTTAGCCTCCTGAACACCAAGGATTACAGGTATGAACCGCCAGTGCCAGGCCCCAATGTTTGTCTTTCTGTGTTTGGCTTATTTCATTTAACATGATGATACCATCAAAAAGTGAATTTTTAAGGATGGTACAAATGAGTTAGGGTAGCCAAAAGATGTTAAGTTTTAAGTTGAAATCTAAAAACATAACTAATGGCAAATCTTTCTCAAACCTACTCAGTTTTCTCCTTTTCTCTGGTTAATTACTGCAAGTTTAAGACCAAAGTCCCAAACCAGATGTGGTGTGATGGCTTACACCCTTGATCCCAGTACTCATTTTAGAGCAAGACCCTATCTAAATAACTAGATTCCCT